ATAAATTTAAAATAATAAAAACTAACCTATTAGCGGAGAGATGAGACTTATATTTCACATATAAATGTTGGATTAATTTAGTCTGAACATATTAACAAAGAGAAACATCAAAGATCGGAAGGTGAAGAGTTGAGTGCACCAGGAGGCAGAGCTCTTTAATTGTTAAATACGGAGTACTTTGAAAGGTACAGTGTGAGATAGATCCCCTTCCTCCTCAGGGGTATTTATTTTATAAAATGATTGTAATTTAGTTAATTTATAATTTAAATTTATTAGAGGGACTTATTTGCATTAGATTAAAATTTTAAGATTATTTTTTTTTGCAAGAACATCCTCCAATAATGTCATTTTTAATCATTTTATAAAATTATTTATTTTTATATTTTTTATAAAATAATAATTTAGTTAATTTAGAACTTTAAATTTGTGAGAATAATTTATTTACACCAAATTAAAACTTTAACAATATTTTTTTGCACATGAATAAATGTGGTATGCACGGTAAGCTTGTTTTAAGGTTAAGGATACTTTCTGCGCTCTGATCAATTTGTAAAAAAAAAAAATATATATATATAATAATAAGCGGCTTAGGTTGATGATGATGCAAAGGCTGATTAAGCAAGAAGACTAACTTCAAAATCTTGCACTGGAGTGTGATTGTGTCGGTTTATACTGCAAAACATTGGTGTGTGTGTCTTGCACTCACTTGGTGAAACCAACGGTCCAAATTTATCCATATATATACGGATTTCATACGTATGTTATGCTGATCAAACTGAAACTGAAACTGAGACTGAACCTCCGTTGCGTCGAGCGACGGCAAACTCGGGGGACTCTCTCTCTCTATCTCATTCTCATCTTTCAAGCAAAAGATCTCTCTCTGACGCTAAAAAGACGACTGTGGAGTTATCTGCTTGTGAAAGTGTGTGTACGTACACACACTAAAATATACTCGTGAATATATATATATATATATAGTGTGTGTGTGTGTGTGTATATATAGATATAGAGAGAGAGAGAGAGAGAGAGAGTAGTGTGTGTTATATTTAGAACTTGGACTGAAGATGTGACGCGAGCATCGGGCCAGCTACTTTAACAGTGAGGTATCATAGATAGTAATTTAGATTGTCAGGGCAAAAAGAAGAGCCTATTTAACTCTTTGTGAGTTGTGATTCATCATTGCACCATACATACACATGTATGACTAGCTTGTAGAGAATGTACTTTCTATGTTGTGGGAGGTAGTTTTTGTTTTTCTTTGGATTTCGTGTCCACTCTTTTTTCAAACTACTCTCACCAGCTGTAAATCTATTCACAAAAACAGTGTGAATGGTTTGGAATTATTTTTCAAAATTAAATGTGTTTGATAATTAATTACCACAATTAAAAGTGTTTTCAGTATAATTATTTTTTAATGAGGTTATAATTTAAAGCATTTAAAATTACATTCTAAGTAGAAATTAGCTATATTGCACAAAATATAACAAAATTAATATACTCCCACCAAAATATATTGTGCTATTTTGATTGAAATCAAAACAATTTGAATTATCAAGTGTCATTTAACCTAATAATAAAACCTCTTTATTTTTGAAGATGAGGAAGGGTTCTGTCAAGGGTGAATTGAAAAGCCATTTATTTATTTTGGTGCTAAATTTATGGATACTTACAGAAACATTACCCCTTAATTAACGTGTTGTTCGGAGAAAAAAATGTGAGGCAAGCTTGATTCTTGACTAATATTATATTTCGACCTCACAGACCGAAGAAACTTCCACAATCTGAAAGATGATTTGGGCAAAGTAGAAGACAGATCGAGGACATGTCTTATTTTGTGGCTGGACCATAGTGTATACAATCAATCACTTTATTATCTCATTTTTAAAATTAGATCAACATATACGACAAGGGGGGTGTAGTGTCTCTATACAAAATATATATTGCAATCCTGCAAAGTTATATCATATGCTTCCAAAGAAAAAGGTGGACCATGGTGCCTTCCATGGTGCGATTAAATGTCATAGCATTGAGGTCACGCGTCTGATCTCAGTTTACTTGTCACGTAATTATGAAAATGATATATGATAATTCCATGATTATGAAGGATTACAAGAAACTATATTTGAGGACGAAAATACTACCTTTGATTTTTATAATAATGGGAGTGATTAGGACTCACCAAATTTTGCAAAGACCTTTTTTTTTTTTTTTTTTTTTTTCATGACTTTCCGCTAAATATTATTGTATTTATTTATATTTTACTTCTCGATTTATAACAAATTCGGGATATATTGTTTTATCCGAAATAAGAAACTGTTAATTTACGATTTCGATTCTAGTTTTAAGTCTATTAAAATTGAACAAAATTGTAAACTATATATATATATATAATAAAAGATTAATAAACAATAATATAACATATGTCATAGAGATAAATTATACACAAGTACCAACAATATGTTTTTTTAGAGTCAACACAAAGAAAATAATGCTATTGTGAAATGTTTTTTTACCTCCTAATTTCATAAGTATTTGCTCACAAAGCTAGTATAATAGTTCATTTGTAGATCATAAATACATTTTACTTTTTGCTTGAGAGATTTATTATTGTTCTTTTATTATATGAACTTATATTTGTCTTAATAAGTCAAATTCACGTGACTAATGGTGAGTTATTAAGTTTGTTGAATTCCAAATTAACATGAAATCGTACCGAATCAAACATATATATCTTAATTTAATTTAATAACATATATGAAGCAAGTTTTATGACATTATATGTCATTGACGTCAACAAACAAGACACATCTTATCCAAGAAAAAAAAAAAGTCGCGTTATATGTCAAAGCAAGATGCATCTCGACTTTGCGAATAAATTTTTGGAACACAAAATAGAACTATTCTCCACTTTGTTGTAAAAATGCAGCAATAGGTTTATTGTCTTTACTTAAGGCCCAAGTACAAGTGGTAAAACTGAAGCTTAAAGTGGTCACACAATTGGTTTGGAGATCGATGAAAAAAGTGCTTCATAATCATAATACTAATCCAAATGCACTGTTAATCTCATACAGTTACTTAAGTAACAGAAAGTGAAATGAAATAAAGTTTTATTTATGAAAATTACAAAAAAGTTTCTTTATTTGTTAAAAATGCGCTTATCTAAATTAGACAAATTCCAAGTTCAAATAGATTCAAATTAAAGCAATCATCACCCACCCAACCGATAGTTTTTTCTCTAAAAGCAGAGGAAGCCCCAACTTTTTTATTTCTTGAAAATTAATATAAATAAAAAAATATGAAAGGAAAAAAAAAATTACTTTATAACTACTGACACATTAGCACAAAGAAGCAATGTGATGGTGGTAATAAAGTTACAAATCACATTTACGTAATAATAACTTTTCTCCGTTCGTGTGCTTTAGGGATCACTGGACTGTCACAAATTTACCTCCACTTTTTAAAGTAAGACATAACCTATGCTTATTTAATGTGTTTATGACTAAAGTAGCACTATTACCTTGACTAAAGTAGCACTATTACCTGTTTTTTTTATTAGAAATGTGATTTGTCTAAACTAGTTAGTGAAAAGCATGTTCATAACTCATAAAAGCTCTGTCCAAAAGCGTACACTTCGGTGAAATACCTGAATAATTAGTCATTTTTCACCCAACTCAATTCACTAAAGTTGTCCTACCCCCTATTAAATGTCATAGGGTGGTTGTCTCTTTGACTTGCGGGAAGGAAGTGAGTTAAAAGGAAACTTACCAGTAATTTCATTAATATTGCATTTCTTTCGTTTAGAAATAGCAGGGATATGTTTCATTTGTCACTTTTTAAATAATTTTTTATTTTAGAAATTTAAAATTTAAAAAATTGTACAAAAATTCTTTTTGATTCAATTTTTTAAAAAATATTTTTAAAAAATTCAATTATAATAAATCTGTTTTCAGATAATTGTCATTATAATTTTCTGAACACTACATACCACATCCCCTCATATTTCCAATTCGAAATTTTATATAAATTTAGATTATTTTTATTATGAAGTCGATCTTATGACAATTATCATGAGTGTATTTTTGATTTATTTTTGTTGTTGTTACTGCTCCTATCATGTACAAATATTGAAGTGCACATCAAACTACTTAAAAATGATTGTGTCATAATTTATTTACAGTAAATAATACTAATCAATCAATTTCTTACACACATTTCTTTTTAACTATATTTGACCAAATCAAATTATAATCTTTGGCTGTGTAACACTCCGTATAATTTTATTTTAAAGTATTTTGTATGATTTATATATATATATATTAAGTGATCACTTTAATATTAATTACATGATAATTTAAAAGTATTTAATTTGTGTAAGCAAATTTATTAAAAGTGTTTATGACAACTCACAACTGCAATGGAATGGACCTCATAATAGCATTTACACCATACCAACAACGAAGTACAGAAAACCACTGTGATGAATGATGATTGAGGATTAAAATTTCCTGTGTTATGGTCAAAGTACGGCCAGCTGAATTATTACCAGCAGTAATTTTGAGGGATAATCTGGTCATTTCGCTGCAAACCGCGTCATTGAAGCCCTCTTTTTTTCTTTTGGTTTTCAAATAATCTAAACCTCGTAAGACGAGAAGCTAACACTAGCTTTTTGGCGGATGAGTGTAGGGAACGCCAAACTCAGCCTTATATTCCATCACTCAGTTCTCACGTGCGTCATCACAAGCCATAAACAATTAAATCAAGTTAAAAGCAAAATCAATTAAATAATAATAATAAAGTAGAATCAGCAAATGATAAAAATCAATAAAATAATTCAAAACGACAAAATAAAATAAATGACCTGTCAGAAAAATCTCCAACAGTACAATTCGTTCAATTATTACCGGAAATAGCCGGTCGTCGTCCGGTTTCTCGCAACCCTATGCTCGTCCCCCCTCACCCAATGAACGGACATAGAGGGAGAAAGCGACTGTAAGAAAGATTTTGTGTGAAATTATGCGTGTATGTGAGTGAGTGACAGTGTGTGAAGATGCGTGAAGTGAACCTCCCATTAAGTACTCCGTTTCTCACTCTCTTTCCCCTCCCTGTTCACGTCGAGTATGTGTCTGTTTTTTGTCTGCTAACCTGCGCGGGTCTGCCATATTTGCAGCTCAGAAGATCATGATAGCCTTTCATTTCATCATCACCACATCTCTTTCACTATTCCCCTTTCTCTCTCTTAAAACCCCAGCCATCTCTTTCACCTCACTTTCCCCCTAGCTCTCCATTTTCTCTCTCTAAAAATAGACTGTCCTCGTTCATGGCGGAGGGATTTGAACCATACCATGTCCCACAACAAAGCAGGAGAGATAAACTCAGAGTTGGGTGCGTAGAAAGCCTCCAAGGGTGCGCAGGTTTACTCCCTTTCTACGATCCATCACTCCTCCCTTCCGATTTGCTAACCTGCGCCAACCTCCACCACCAGAACAACCACCACCACCACCACCACCCACTTAGCGAGTCGACCTGCAAGTCAAACCCCAGCTCGTCAAACCGTTGTGAGGTTGTTAAAGAAGAAGGTGTGAATTTGATGGGTTACGTTGGAGGGATTTTGAGTACGTCATCATCATCTTCCACTCCACACCCGCACCATTTATACATGGATCCACAATCCTCTCTCCAAATAAACCCTAGCTCGATTCAAGAAATGAACAGCAACAACCCTTTTCTCTACTCCCCTCAAAACTTTCGAATTTTCGACCAGTCCTTTAATGGCGGTGATGTTGTGGTGTTTAAACCAGAACCCTTGTCGATGGCCCATCATGATCAGGCTAATAACACCAATGGGCAAGCGTTGTCTTTGTCTCTGTCTTCGCATCACAATCACAATAATCTTCCTCTGGAACTGAATCTGCAAAGATACGATCAGTCCTCGAGTTTCAGTCATGACAAGGTGGTGGTTTCCGGTGGCGGTGGCTATGTTGTTCCGGGCATTGTTGGTGGTAGTGGTGGTGGTTCGACTTCAAATGATGTGTCGAGAAGCTCGGTTCCTCTCGGGCCGTTCACCGGTTATGCTTCGATTCTCAAGGGTTCGAGGTTCTTAAAGCCTGCACAGCAATTGCTTGAAGAGCTCTGTGATGTGGGTCGGGGAATTTACGCTACTGAAAAGATTACGCCCGACTCATCTTTGATGGATCCTTCAACAAGAAGTTTTGGTGAAACTGCAACTATTGATGATTCGATTAGTAGCTCCGGAGATGGGGGTGAGCATCGGAGGAAGAAATCAAGGCTAATTTCGATGCTCGATGAGGTTTGCTTCTCTAATTTATCACTACAATCCTCATTTGCATTTTACAAGCTCGTACTAAGTGTTCTCTTTTTTTTTTTTTTTTTTTTCGTGTTTCGTTTATAGTCTAATTTTTGAATTTAGCTTCAAGTATTTTGGTGCAGTTTGGTTGATCAATATTGGTTTAGATTGAATTATTTTTGTATCTGATACTAGTTTTGATTCTCGTGCATTGATGTGATTGTTCATTTCCTGTCGTGATCCTATCTCAACCTAGCTAGGTCTTTTATGAATCACTGGCATTTTTCACTGTACAAGCCCGTGCCCAATTAAATACGCAACTATATTTCAAAGTGTTGGTTTGTCATTGATGCTATGGGCACGCAATTAAGGGGTTGCATGTGATATTACATAAAAGTATTTCAACTTTGGTGATCTGTGAGTGATAGTTTGTTTGTAATGTATAGGTTATATAACTGTATCCATGTGAACTATAGGTGATTGTATATATTTTAGGGGTAGATGTTGCTAGAGATCACAAAATCATCTTTTTGGAAAAGTTGATAGGAGAGAATATATGCACAAAGAATGGTGCCTTAAAAGTGTCTGACAGCATTAGAAAGAGTTGTAATGGGTAACAAAAATCACTAAGTTTAAGTGTAATGTGCATAAAGTGATTGAAGGAATCCATTTGAAAAGATTTATACTCCATAAAAGTGTGCACAGAAGGCATAATGGTATTTTTTCAAGCTTAAAGAAGATTAGGTAACAACGCGTCTGCCCTTTCTTTTTCTCCTTTTCTCCCCTAGCTTTACCGATCATGCACCTACGAGGTAAGTCCGGAATTATTAACTTGGTAAACTAAAAGCATTGAGTTTAAGCGAACATAATTTCTCCAAATTTGCCTTTTGTGTTTCTCATCTCTTTTTGAACTATGAAATCTCATCCAGGTCATTGCCTGTGTGTCAATTTTGGATGTATGACTTCGTTCTAGTTAATTTGCGATGATATAAATATTTATGTTTGCTAACAAAATGGACTAGAAACTTGAGAAAGTTAAGATAACAAACTATATATGTACAAGACAAAATCATGAAAAGCTTAATCCATGTTTTCATTATACTAGTTCGTGACGATACTGTATGAAATTTTTATATCACATATTTAATACTTGTAAACTCTAATGAATATCAATATAATTAAGTCAATGGTCCTTGACTGTACTTGTAGATCATCTTTTTCAAAATTGCATTTCTGATTATCATGCAAAGGGTAAATTAGTTGAAAATTCAAATTGCATTTCTGGTAACTATGCAAAGTGAAATCGGTTGAAACACAATCATTCTAAAGAAGGTAACTTTAAATGATTTCTATTGAAGATTTATGCTCATATCCTTGTTCAAGTCAGTAAAATCATACTTTCTCTTTGCAACAGATAATTTAGTATATCACCACTTCATATTTAGTAATGTTGAATATAGCTGATACATACGATTTGCGGTCTGGTACTCGGTAACACATCTCAGGTGGTAATATATATATATATATATATATATATATATTTTCTGTCTAATTTGAGTACTGACCATGAACTTAGGTTGGCCCGTGCATGTATCAAAGGTATTGTGGAATAGATCTATTATTAGCTAGCTAATTCTTTGAAACTTAAACTCAATGCTTTTGTAAATTGGCGGTATGTAATGTCCAACAAAATTTGTTGATATTTTGAAAATAGATTAGATCTTGTTATGTCTACATCACTATATATTAAAGGAAGAGATTTATATGGTCAATTTGAAAAGTTTAAATTGCAATGAAATAAAGCATGGTATTTATTAACATTGCTTTAAAATTGTAGGAAGAGACATGGGCATTTGAAGTGTTGAAATTGCAATCACATGTGACATATTATTTGTTATTAACCAATTACTTAGAGAAGCATTTTGAGAGGGTGTTATTCATTTATTTAATTTTCTTTTCTAAAGGGTGTGTAAGACTAATCCCTTTGGATGCTCACAATCACCCCCAAACCACTGCTACTGGTCACAACAAAGATTGAGTCCTTACTTAAGTCACACAATCCTTCGAAATGGGTGCCACTCTCTCGGTCTGCGAGCAAGTTTTTGCTCTGAGAGCAAATGCTTTCCCAATTCACGAATGAATTTTGTTATACCTCGAAATCAATTTGTGAATCCTCCAATTCGGAATGATTTCCCATTCCTTGAACGATAAACGACCACATGTGACATTTATTATGGATAGTAATGAACCGAAATTTGCCTAAACTAAACTATAAAAAAAATTAAAAAAATATAAAACTATTGAAAAGGTGTAGAACCAAGAAAAAAGATTACAAATTCTTGTATTAATATTGACCATTTTTGTTTCTGTTATTTACTTAATGAATGCCCTGATTATAAGAGACATACAAATAAGTTCTTGAAAGAATATAGCTGTCTAAGTGCTTATATCAACAAGTGTATATATATATATATATACACGCAATTAAATTATATAGACACTTGTTAATTTTACTTTATGTAATTACAATGTTTGTTGTTTTAAAATTCCTTAAATTAACCCAATCATGTATAAAAAAATTGAATAATATATAATTTTAAAATCTGAATAAATGTATAGATTTCTTCATTTGCATTCCTTCAAAATTTTAAAAAAATAGTAGTATATTTTATTTTATTTTCAATTAGTTCAAATATTATTTATCTCCTAATAGAAGAAATAATGGTTACTCATGACTCGAATCCATTTACTTATGCTAATAAAATTGTTATTTTTATTATTCCATCAAGTAACTTCCTTTAGCATGTGTATTAATATTGAACTTGCTTTATACATATAAATATCCAAATATGTGAACATAATCAAATACAAGTGTACAAGCGTTCTGGAGGCACTTATGCTCTAACCGAATTTTAGATTTTGCTGCTTTCTCGCTCCGCTCCTGCTTTGTGTGACTTGGGGCTTGACACTCCTTGAGATCTGAGTCTGCCTAGTGGCCTCGTGCCGACTCAACTGCCTTGAAAGCTGAGGGTATACTCTAGTATCATATTATTAAAATGACCCTTTTGTGTGGACAGACTCCCCCATGAGTTGGCATGCATATTTATCAAGAAAGCGACTAGATTTGAGCCTAAATTTTGCAGCTCCAACACAAATCCACCACAGTATATTGGAGGGTCATTTTGCAACAAAATATTTGGTTGCAAAAGGTTTATACTTCTTCCAAGAAGTTTTCATGGTGAAAAGTATTGTCGTTATTCATTCTATCATATACCTATACTCAAAATATTCTTAAAAATTATCAATGCAAAAATATATACGAGAAGAGCATTTCTTGGCAATGTTATATGCTTTGATGCATGTATTTTAGGATAAAATACAAGAAACTTCCCCCAACTTTCTAGTTTTGGCAACTTGCCTCCCTGAACTTCTAATTTGGCATCAAAACCCTTGATTTTTTTCAAAGAATCGCAATTTACACATTACCATTTGTTAGTTGTAGAAAAAGTTACATCATGAAAACCCAATTTTACAATTTATATTGACCAAAATGTTCTTTTAAATGACCAAAATGTACGTAGTATTTTACTTTTTATATTAACAAAAATGCCTTATTTCATGTGGCATTTTGGTCAATATAAATGATAAATAGGGTTTTCATAATGATTTGCCACATGAACTACGAGTGATGTAACTTTTTCAACGATGAGCAAACAAGAAGGGTATACTTGCAATTCTTTAAAAAGTTCAGGGGATAAGTTGCCAAGAGTTGAAAGTTGAAGGTTTGCCAGCGTGGGTAAACACTTCTTGTAATTGGTAACAATCATGCCACATGTTGGCATATTTAAACATACCTTCACTTTTAAATATTTTACCATTAGTGCCATTGCAGATTTTGCATCTAAATCTAGAGTGCTTGCTACTTACAATTTCAACTCCAAAACATTACTACATGAGTCTTATAACTGACAAATTTTACATTTATAACAACTCAAAAACATTCCTAAAGGCTAAAATTAAATTTACATTGATTATTTTACACCAATCATATGTTTATATGATTTTTTACAGTCTCCATAAAGAAACTTAAATTTTTTTGGGCATTTTTTTTTTAAAGAAAGGTAACGAGGACCACTCCAAACTTACCTTTTTCTTGCATTTGCACTATATTTTATGTATAGACGGAGTAATTTAAAAAATTGAGGTTTCTAAAATGGTGGCTTCCTTGACTAGGATGAAGTCTCAGCCTAGCGGAAGGTTCCTTTCTGCTTTGAACATTAGTTAGCTGTGTGGTTTTTTTTGCCCCTCTGTTGTATTTAGGGAGGTATCGCTCTCTTGAATTATAAGGATTTCTAGATTTTTTTCGTACTTGGTAGGAAATATTTCCTGAATGTTGTTATTTTATACAAAAGAATGATTTCTATGACACAACGAAGAGTGATTTTAGTATTAAAACATTTTTTAAGCTCTTCTTCAACTTCAGTGTTATTGTTCACAAGCTTTGCATACACATCTATACTGTCAGATTAAGTGACTAAGAAGTAAAAAGCTCGTGTATCGTTGTAGTGAAGATTTTGAAGAATTACTAGCAGCGGGCTTCCATAACCACTTCACATTTGTGTGTGAAGGCCTTACAGTGTTCACGTAATAGACCATTTAACTATCATTTCTGTCTCTTTGTAGCCCATCTTTTTTCTTCTTTAATGTTTAATACATTATATTTATACTTGGGGGTTAAACTGGTCCTTTAATACCAATCCTTAACCTAAGCTGCTACCAAGGTTATCACCTAGACTGTTCAGCTCTAACCTTGCGGAAGTATTATATCCGCTAGTGTCCTTAGCTAACCACATTAGTGCATGTATTTTTAGGAGGATTTAGCTGATTTGCACCAATGCTACATCATTGATGGCTCAGACCCAACCTCTCTATCAATGATCAATGAGTGACGTTTTGACGTATTCTGATTGGTCAGTGTGCAGAGCAATAGGTCGGTGACTTAATGGTCATTCCAGTCAATATCTAACTCTCAACCTTTAGGTGCATGTTTCCTTCTCATTTGTCTTACCCTAGCTTATACATGTTTTCAGCCAAAAATCTCATTATGATCCAAAGTACAACATTGAAGCTTCAATATAATCACAAGACTCCTCCAAGCCCTTGAACTCAAAAAATCAGTTCTTAACATTGCTTAACTGAACAAAAGTCGACTTACCCAATAACCAAAACTTGCACTCAGAAGGTATCATTTTCTTTTGGCACGTATTGCCCCAGTGGGGCCTAGCTTGAACCCTAACCTGTCATTCACAAGGTATCAACTATCATCCCTTGAGGTTCTTTTTCTATCACAATATCCTACCATCAACAGTAAATCAATTTATGACATTCCATTCCTTCCCGTAACACTCAATGTTCAAGTTTGAAATTGAATTCCTAAATGTCATAATTTTGATTCTCCAAAAAATAAAAAATAAAATAAAAATCTAACTACACAGACATTCGCCATTGGTGTAGAGAAGGAATATTGCTTGTCTATCCTTCAATTGCGTTTACCACAGCTAGTTCCTTTCTTTCTCTTGAATGTGATTCGTTTTACTGATAGCTTCAAGATTTAGTCAATTTATAATTATAACCTAATTGGACCAGAGCAACCAGGTTTGAGTCTTTGAGATGAGGTGATGTGTGCAAAACTTAATCAGTATCTCTCTCTCTCCTATTATATCCACTTAATCACAAATTTGAACAACCTCAAGACCTCATGTATTATATGGACCAAAAAAAAAAGCAACATACCTTATTCAACTGGTCTATTATGATTCAGCAACCTTACACACTTTTTCTGAATGTATTTAATCATTGTGTTGTCTTAAATAGAGAACCATCAAAGATTTTTGATCATCCCCCCACCCCCATCATTTTTTTTTTTTTTTGAGCTAATACCATAATGATGATGACATTGTCTATAATAACTGTTTCCCACTTTCGGTTGAAATATGAAGTTGGCCCTCTCAAACATCTTTTAAATTTGATACCTAATCCTAGTTATTTAATTGCTTCTAAAGTGAATATAATTCATCCTTCTGAGAGTCATCTCTTAACACTTGATCTGAATGTAATTCATTCCCAAGCATGTCACTATCTTTTATGTACAAGAAAATTTTAAATACAATATGGCTGGATATGAATTTTACATAATTTTTAGCTAGTATGTTGGTTGAAATATGAAGTTTTCAGAAATCATATAAATGTTATTATACCTATTTATGTTGGATTCTGCATGTGTATTTGAAGGTATTTAGTAAAAGTAACACTGAACTACTTGTTTAATACATTAACATGCATATCCATGAAGTTAGACCAATGACTAATCACAATGAGATACTATTCAGGGCTAACTCATATTGATTTTTTATGTGCGTGCAAAGTATGAACTGACATTTCTATAAGTTCAAAACTATGCGTGGGCAAATTATATTGTAGTCTTGGGATTTTTGCCCTCGAGATTTTTCACCATTCATGGTGGCACTTGCCACTTGATTGTAGTTTGTGTCGAATTGTGGATTTGAAATTAAATGAATAGGCCCCTCATTTGGTATCTCTAGTAGGCATTTTTTTTTTTGATCTTCAAGTTAGAAGTATGAAGATTAAACTATTCCTTATTTCTTTGTTGACAACTAAATTCTGAAAAATCATGGTAAAGTGTATCAATTTGTTATGGTAGTTCATTATTTTAAACGGACTGCATTATATGTCTCATATTTGCTTTTGCTATTTTGAGTTTTTTCAGTACTTCCCATGTTGGGATCGGTCACTTGTTCTAATTTGATACATACATATATTTTTTCACAACCATATGCAGTCTGATTCTCAAAGAGTCAACACAATGAGTTGTATTGACTGGTTAAATATGATTTATATATCCAATGATTTTCCACCTTGTCTGCATCAGGTTTACAGGAGGTACAAGCATTACTACCAACAGATGCAGGCAGTTGTAGCATCATTTGAATCTGTACCTGGGCTTAGCAATGCAGCTCCATTTGCAAACTTGGCTTTAAAAGCCATGTCAAAACACTTCAAGTGCTTGAAAAATGCAATCACTGACCAGCTGCAGATGGCAACAAAAGATCATGATCATTTAGGCTACAGGAAAGATGAGACTCCAAGGTTTGGGAACTCTGATAGAGGCCTTTATAGCCCTAGACCAATTCATAAACCGGGATTTCTTGAACATCAACCTGTTTGGCGTCCCCAAAGAGGACTCCCTGAGCGTGCCGTTACTGTGCTCAGGGCATGGTTGTTTGAACACTTTCTGCACCCGTAAGTGATATCATTTCCTGATTTGTGGCATGCTAGCTGATCAGACTTCCCTAAAGGAACACTTGAATTTTTTCTTTTATATTTCTGAATAGTTACTCTTTAATGTTTCAGCTACCCTACCGACACGGACAAGCTTATGTTAGCTAACCAGACTGGTCTCTCGCGTAGTCAGGTGAGCTACTCTTAATGTGAAATCTCTGTAACCATGCTTGTTTGGGTTTTGCAACCAGAAATGACTTCATCCAAATAAGTACACCACCCACTGCGGTCATGCACACACACAGGGTCGATGTGGTGTTGCGTTTCATGTTATTCAACAAGTTTTAGCTTTATGTTTTAATATTAAAAACTGTGTGTGTCAATATCAAATTGGGGTGATTTATTTATTGATTGACATTGCTATATGGGAACCAGGTCTCGAACTGGTTCATCAACGCGAGAGTGAGACTCTGGAAGCCAATGGTGGAAGAAATACACATGCTTGAAACACGACAAGCTCAGAAAGCTTCACAAAGGGAGGAACAAAGTAATGAAAGGCCAAACGATCATTTGCCTACAGCGGACTTGCATGCATCAGAGAACACATCAACCCAGAGAGCTGCGGACATTTCATCTAAACGCACCAGAAACGACATTCCTGAGATATCTATGGGGAATGATGAGCCAATTATGAATTTGTCTTACAACAATTTGTCACGCCATCCGCATGTTGGTCTTGGTATGAGCACTGCAGGTGGCAGTGGTGGTGTTTCTTTGACACTTGGCCTCCACCAGAATAATAATGGGGTTGGCTTACCGGAACCCTTTCCGATTAATGCAGCTCGTCGTTTTGGTCTTGAAGCAAACAGCGAGGGGTATGTAATGAGTTTCGAAGCACAAAATCGACAATTTGGAAGAGACATTATGGGAGGACAACTCTTGCATGATTTTGTTGGCTAAAGATATCCTTTTTCAAGAGCTGTCTTCAGATCTAGTTGAATAATATACTGATCAGAGAAGCTTTAGTTGGAAATGCTGTCATCGACCATCTGTATCTAAGCAGCAAGACACCGAATTGTTGCCCCATTCTGGTATCAGAATGTATGTTCGAAGATAGCATAATTTTTAAAATTTTACAAACTGGTTTTAAATGTTTCCTTCTAGATGTGTATACAACCAAATTATCGCATGAAATATGCTGGTAAAGCTTATATTATATATTGTGCGTTGATACCGTGATTAAAATACATTATTCTCACTACTTGTAAGTTAAGATTAATGTGTCTGTATCAGTTGTGTGTCTCACGTCATTAGGGGAGAATTCACTGGCACTTATATGAGATGCCTTCTAAAGGTAGAGAAAAATTATAACACAAGATGGGATGGATTGGACAAGTATTTTAGAACGAAAGGAATATTGCCGAGTCAAATGGCTGAGTGTGCTTCCTTTAAGGTCATGTGAAATTTTGGTAGCAACGAGCAAATATAATCGATTAATTTCAAATTTATAAATATATATATATGCATATGTGCAAAAACTCTTCCGAGTGGCAGCCAACCCCGATAAAGTTGGATAAAGTTGGCTTCTAGAGATGAGAAGAGAAAAGAAAAGAAAGAAAAAGTTACTCCATCAATCTCAAAATAAAAATGAGATAATCTTTTCAAAAGAGAGGTTCAATTATTGATTCAATGATTCTAAGTGTCATGTCACCAACATTTAAAAAATGTCAATAATATTTAAATATGCTTACCAAATTCTACATGCTTCAATTAGGGTTGATTAATATTAAGTAAATTGCCTAGACTTATTATGAAGTTTGGGCAAATTATAAGCTAGTAGACCATTTAATTGTTTATTACTTTAATTTTTTTTGAGATTTGGTGTGTGCTCAATACAACTTTAGCTTTTTCTTTCTAACAAAATTATTGACTAATTTTATAAAATGACAATTTTGCAGTCTCCTTTAATAAAAAAAAGTAATATAATCTATTATTATGATATAAAAGCATTGCTGACTTTTCACATTCAAAATCACTTTTCCATTGTCGACCAACAAATTTAAAGGAGGTCAAAGTATTAAATAATAAATAGCCTTCCCGTGTGTAATTTGTCCAATTCTTCAAAGATGGTCACTGTGACTTACTCTAAATATTATTGGACATATTTCTTACCCAGCTCAGTTTAATGAACCGATCATAAAGCAAATACAACCCTCTCAAATTGCACCAATGCAACCTATTTATTTCTATAATTTTTTATTTTTAACATATTTTTACAGCCTTTTAGATGTATAATTTTTCACTCTCAAACGGTAACAAACAAGTCATTCAAATGCTCTTATTTTCTGCTTTCTCCATTTATTTTGATGTAAAATATTTTTAAACATTTTTATTTTTTAGTGTTTAGTTGTCCTAAAATATTTACGAAGAAAAAAATATATTAAAATCTAATAAAAGTAACTTACTTATCAATTTTAGAAAAGTTATTTTATACCCACATGATAGACTCGACCTCAATTTCGACCTATATATTTTCCAAATATCAAAAAATAAAAACAAAAAAATTATATATTTCGAAAAAAAAAATCTTATGTAAAAACAAAAGAGCTAAGAGTGATAAATACATTTACAATAATGAAACAAATCAAGAAAGAATTGTTAAAAGAAATAAAACTACAATTCACTTCATTCCCACAATAAAAAAAAGTCACTTTATAATATTAGTAATAATAATAAAAATTCACAGATTTTCTTGTCACAAGCATATGTATTTTATAAATTATCCAAAACCCAAGTTATTAACTTGTATAAATTAAAATCTGTTCTTCAATATCGCAGAACATTTTTTTCTTCTTAAGAATACAATAAAGGATTATTTTGGAACACAAGGTATATTTCATTTTGAATTACGCCATAAGAAACTTTGGAATTCTGGAATGAATCAATGGAAAAATTGGTTAACAGGTCATTATCAATATTATGTCCTAATAATATTGGTAACTTAATGGGCTTAGTACCCCCATTCAGTAATAAGTAAATCCACACATGTTGTTTTCAGACGTATAAATTGATGGTCCAGTCCACTTGTAATATACCGTAAACACTACTAAACAATTGCTATGATCTTAATGCATATTACCGTAAAAAATATTAGGTAATATGCATTAAGATCACATCAACTGTTTATGCATCATTACTACTTTTATTCATAGCCCGTTTCCTTATTTTTCAGTTTTTCATTTATAAAATTGCAATGTTTTTACAATTTTTTTTTATAAAATTCCTCTCCTTATTTTTGTTTCAGGGAGTCAGACAAATGATTAGTTTTGATCATTATAACAACTAACAAATGTCTATCAAATTAATTAATATATATTAATGATCAAAGACATAATATTTTATATATAATTAGCAATACACAATCTAATTATATATAGGAAATGCTTGAAGCATCTCAAACGTTCTTACAAGATGAAATGCGACGAATATAATATATATATATATATATATAATAAATACACAATTTGATATACATATATAATAAATATACAATTTGATACACATGGACTATAACTTTCTAAATAATTAAATTACCTTATATTTTAATATAGATTCATTATATTTGACACATAAATAATTGTATAGACTTGGTGAAATAGTATGTTTTTATTTGTGGACTCTTGTTAAAGTAAAACCATCACAGTCTCAAATACTATATAAATTTTTATTTTATAAGATAATTTTTTTTAAGAACGGACTTTAAAATTAAAAATAAAAAATAATAATAAAGAATCAAAACCAATTTGTTTCCTTGCCAACTGCCAAGGTCCATATTTCAAATTTGGGGTTATGGAGCAACTAATTTGTCAAATATGTTCTCTAAATCAAATTCATCAAGGTGGTCCATGGACCATGAACCACGTGACTTTTTTTGAAGCAAATTCCAAAAAAACGTGACACACGCACCTTCCGCTCGCTCTTTCGTTCAAACCACGCATGGAAAAACAGGTACAAAGAAAAAGAAAAGAAAAAAATAATAAAATATTCAGTTCTATGGTTGCATACCAAAGCAAAGCGTGTCCACAGTTCTGAAAGAACTCCAAAAACTAGAACTAGAAACTGCGTCTCCAGTTAGGGTTTTTTAGGGTTTCTCTCTCTTCCACAAATCTATTCAACGCAATGACTTCGAATTCCATTCCTAGTGTTTTACCGTCACCTCGTTCCATGTTCTAGGGTTTCGATTGCTGCAAAGGGAGGAGAAGTTTTGTAGAGAGAGGGTAAGGGGGCTACCGAGATGGAAGCCCGAGTAGGCGTGTCTGGCCATGGAGGTGTCGTCGACGGAGGCACGAGGAAATTCTTGCACCATCACCAGCAACAGCAACCCTCTGTGCATCAGCAGTCGCAGATAGGGACGGTGCCGCAGCTTCTCGCCGGCGGAATTGCCGGCGCTTTTAGTAAGACCTGTACGGCTCCACTTTCTCGCCTCACCATTCTCTTTCAGGTTGGTTTTACCCTTTCTGATCCAGTTTTTTTTGGCAAGTGAATCAGAAAATCATATATTTATGTATCTCTCTGTCTCGTTCTGGACTATACTTATATGCTCTGTAAATTGGGGTCTTTGTTAATTATGTTTTCTGGCGTTAGTAATATTTGGTGAGTCCTGAATTTATGGTGCAGAAAGAAACAATTAAAATTTTTAGTTTCTTAAGTTTAGATTATTAAAATTGCAAAAAGAAAAACTTAAAATTGGGTTGGGGCGTGGAGCTCAAGTATAGTCTTGATCTGGTTTTTCACAATTTAAGTCATATTCAAGATGAAGAAAACAGTCATTTCCATGTATATTCACTAACATCTATTCTGGTAATTGTTCATGGAATAAATCGGATGGGCTAATACCCAATAGATGCAGGGTGAGTGTAACTGTGACGGGTATGGGATGAAGAAAAGGTGGAGTGTGCTTCTTATTATCTTCATTCGAAACTGGGATTTTATCTAGCCCCAATGGCGAACGAACGAACGAACAAATACAAGAAATCATAAAACATATGGTTGGGGTTTTTGGAGCTTAGAGAGTTCCAACATGGCCTTTTTAATATGTTTGTATCTATAGCTATGAAAATTTTCAATATTTTAGGTGTTTTATGTTTTTGGGTGTGTTTCCATAAAAGTCATTTTAGGTTTGGTAATATCTGAGATGGTATTTTGACTATGGGACTAGTAAGTCGTAAGGATACATATTAGGTCATGAATGGAATTCACAATGTTTTATCCTCTTTGTTATTCTGAATTAAGATTTCAAATTTCTAATGCACGTTGAAATAGTCACAATGATTCTGACAAAAATATGTCCTGAACTCTTTGTTAGTTTATTGCAAAAAATAGTCTCCGCGTATCTCCAGATCGATACTTTCTTCATTTTATTGATGACTATGATGTTCATACTAAATACTATTAAAAAAAATTAGCTATAGAATTCACACAGCTTCTGCTTCTTGGTAGTCTCAAGATACAATCAAAATTGGCGTGCAATTCTATTATCAACTGTTAACTTGAGTGTCAGCTTCTGCCACCACTAAATGGGAGTTGTGTTGACTTCAACTCAATCATTTAATGCTTGCTATTACCATCAGCCCAAAAAAAAATTCTGTGACTTTGAAGTGTATAAAATTGTTTGGTCTTTTTGTTTGACTGTTATATGTCTTTTTAGGTGCAAGGTATGCACTCTGATGTTGCGACTTTAAGCAAGCCCTGCATATGGCGCGAAGCTTTACGTATTGTCAATGAAGAGGGCTTTAGAGCCTTTTGGAAAGGGAATCTTGTCACCATTGCGCATCGCCTTCCATATTCTTCAGTGAATTTCTATGCTTATGAACGCTACAAAAGTGTCAGTGAAACTACTGTGAATTACTTTTGTTCAGTTAAAATACATTGATCTTTCATCTTTGCAACTTTCTTTTTGTTATATATTGTCCATTTTTTTTATATTATCCTTTTCAGTTTTTAAAATCAATTCCTGGCATGGAAAGTCGTAAGGGAAGTGCGGGTGCAGATATTGGTGTCCACTTTGTAGCTGGTGGGATGGCAGGAATTACGGCTGCATCTGCCACATATCCTTTGGATCTTGTGAGGACACGACTTGCAGCACAGGTAAAGTGAATACAGTTATAGTGAATTATGTAAAAAGACTAAACCATAGAAGTGTATCTGGACACTAACACAGTTATGTTCACACATATACATATGCATATACATCAATATGATAACTAAACTAATGTTCGTATGAGCATATTGATTGTTTGGAATGACAATTAAATGGTTGAATTCTCTAGAAAATAACAGAGAAAGTCATTCTATGAGTTTCATTGCATGTCTCTAGGATTTCCCTAGCGAGGTAAGTCTTGTGCCATTGAGCTATTAATGGTCATTTATAATGGTTGCAAAAGCATTCTTAATATCGTACCAGCAAGCTATTACAATATGTGCATACAGAGTGCTTAAGGAACCAAATTTCTTGAGACTTAAAGTCCTTGAGTCTATGGTGTTTTTTTTCCCCTTAGTGTCTTATTGTTGTTACTGGAAGCTGTTAGTTATTGATTGAATTAGGTGGCATGGTATTTGCCAGTCCATTCCATACGTGTCTTCTGTATGGGCTTTTATCTTAGCTCACTTAATTTTAAAACTTTGCAGAGAAGTGCAATATACTATAATGGCATTTGGCATTCGCTTCGAACCATTTGCAGAGATGAAGGTGTCCTGGGCCTTTATAAGGGGCTTGGAGCAACATTGTTGGTATGCCTTTTTAGTGTGCTTCAGTTAATTCTTTTATAACTATGGTACTTTGGATCCACCACTGAGATGCGTTCTGTGATGCAGGGGGTTGGACCCAGTATAGCAATAAGCTTTTCTGTTTATGAAACCTTGAGATCTTATTGGCATTCTCAAAGGTGAAGACTACTGATCAATTAAGTTGTTTCACATGCCAAGTTACATCTCTTCCTGCTCTTTTCTCTTTCTTGGTTCTTTGATCATAGCATTTGATTTTTTGAAATCTTGACATTAGGCCCAATGATTCTACTGTTGTCGTCAGCCTTGCCTGTGGCAGTCTTTCAGGCATTGCATCTTCAACAGGTGAGAGATACATTACCTACAACTTAAACATGCCAACAACCCAATCTTAGAATACATGTTGCTTGTTATTTTGCATTTATGTTTCTACTAGATCCATTTTGTGCATGTGCATATTGAATAAAGAACTTATGTTTCCTTCTCTTGTATAATAAATGACACTTCGAATTTACTGATCGTCCTGCTTCCAATACCTTTTAGTTTTACATATAATGTAAAAGTGTGAATTATTTTATTAGGCATAACGTTGCAGAATCAAATCTGTGTTAAGGTTAAAATAACATATGCGGCTGATTTTCATGCCCTTTTTCATCTGACACATACAAATTCCCTTAATCATCTCCTTCAACATGAACCAGTCTATTTTTTGGAGGAGAGGGAGGTAGAGGTTAAGGAAGTTGTTCTTGCCCAAACTGCTATTATTGATCTCAATTATTACCATATCTATTAAATTCAATCGAAAATCAGAAATATGTGATGAAGATTTTACTCATATCTGAGCTATAGCTTTTAAGTTTAGAGGACTACATTGGCATGTTACCCCAAACATTTGTTTATTGGTAAAATTGACACCGCAAAATTCATTTTTAGGATCAACTTATCAGTTGAGATATTATGGTTGAAATTTTTGCATCACTTAAAGAAAAAAGAAAAGATTCATGGTAATTTTACCTATCTCACAATATTTTTTATCTCCTGCAACCTCTGAGATGAGTCCCTCCATCTTTTGTTTGGAGCAATTCTACTTGCTATTTTCAGGGAATGCCTCGTAATTCTGTCAAATATCACCAAATAAATTTCAAGTTTACTGCTAATATTGGAACCACCATATGTTAAAGCCACTAATTTCAAGAACACAAGCTCAGCACACCTCTCCTCTTTAGTTAATCAAAGACAAGCCTTGCATTTGGTACCTGCGATACTGTGCTGGGATGGCATAACACTAAGTATTCAAGAGAAATAAATCAGCTTTGATTTGGTTTGAGATTGAAGCGTGGCCATTTATCTTGAATAGATTTGTAGTTGTTTTGGTTTTTTAAATAAATTTTTAATGTTATATTTTGATTGTTTTTATATATTTTCACAAATTAGTGGTGTGGGTTTCATCCATGTATGTCCTATATACATAAGAATTCAAAAGCAAAGATGCTTTGGTGTTCTTAGTGCTTGTCAAACTAGTTCAGACATATGTTTGAAAAATACAAAAATTCATCTTAATATCTTTTTGAGATTTTGGCCATGTGATAAATTTTGGGGTTGATGACAAAGCATAGAAGAATTAATTGTTTATGTGTAGTGGTAGCTCTATTGATAGGGAAAGGGAGGAACGAAAAAGAGCGTTTTAAAAAAAAGAGGGTGAATAACAATCAAATTCAATATTGTCCTGGGATCTAGTGAGCAAGGATTGAATTGAACTTGCTGTTTTACTCATGTTAATATCACAGGTGAACTAGTTAAAAAAAAAAAAATGGGTTTAGTCAACTGATGAAGCCAGTTCATTTTTTGTGCTGTTCATTATCAGGCCTTCATTCCAATCTCTTCTTGATATTTTGTGGGTTTCCTGATACTTTGCAGCAACATTCCCTTTGGATCTTGTGAGGCGAAGAATGCAGTTGGAAGGGGTTGCTGGTCGAGCCCGTGTCTATAAAACTGGCCTAGCTGGGACATTTAGGCACATAATCCGCACCGAAGGCCTGCGGGGCTTGTATAGAGGAATTCTGCCAGAATACTATAAAGTTGTTCCCAGTGTAGGAATTGTTTTCATGACTTATGAGACATTGAAGAAGCTTCTGTCACATGGGCCTTCTAATAGTTAATTGTCATTGCATCCAGAGGCCATCTTTCGGGCTATCAGTTTTGTAACTCATTTTATATTCAGACATGAAAAGAACATACAAACAGTCGGTTAAAGATACAAAGTAGGTAGAAGAATAGCTCTCTTCTTATTTGCTGAGAAATTCCGTGGTGGTAAATTTTGCGGTTGCTGCCAGGAAATATTTGTCACTGTATAGGCTATTAAATAGCATTGTGAGGGTTGCATCAAGTGTAAACTGTTCCAATGTATCATTCATTGATGATTTTATCATCATTCCTGTTGTTTTATACGTGTCTCTATTCAGGTTATGTTTCCTTGCTACTTGTGAGCATACATATTTTTTTTTTTAAAGCTGGAATTTTTTATCAGCTGTTACAGACAGTCTAATGATGAAAGACTTTATTTTATTTTTTGTTATCCTGAGCAGCTATTACTGGATGAAGAATGAGAGTACAGGGACTCCTGCCCAACTTGGACAGTAGCATATTTACTTATTAATTCCAAGCATACCACTGTTACGAAAACTCAAGTTAAATTTATGAATAGGATTAACTAGCTTGCATGTAAAAAAAAGGGTCAAGCCAGCGTAGTACAATCTGCATTGTTAACAGAGGTTTTTCACTTTACAGCGCACATTATTGTTTACAATAACAAACTGGGAATGAAATATAGATGGTGCCACTGTGTTCCAATCTGGTAGAGAAATGGGTAATGGCCACCACAAAAGAAACAGCCGCCCACATTGAAAGTTTGTTGACCTAAATTTCTTCATGGACCAATGTGTCAAGAGAAGTTTCCGTAGTAGTTGCAAAGTTTAGTCATCTCATTCGGAAAAAGTTAATAAAGCCAAATGTTGCAAACCTTTTCTACTGTAGAATGCATAATTAAGCTATTTTGATTCAAGTGCTTCATCTAAATTCTAAAGCAAGTTGCTTGATGCTGTCTTTTTTTTTTCCTAGTTAAAAGATGCTGTCGTTACTTTAATCTAAATACAATCTAATACAACTGAAATTATACTTTACTTAAAAGAGGCAACAAGAAGGTTCTGCTCATCCTTCAGTTATGGCTGTGGTGAAGACTGAAGAGGTAAAGATAGTCCTGGTGGTGCCGGTTAACTTTGCACCAACGACGACACTGGGGAGTGGTAAGGGTGGCATTTGTTAGCCTGCGGCAGTGTTAAGTGCTGTGGTGCTGGCTCAGTGGAAGAAGGGCATGGTGGTAACGGTCACATATATATACAATATATCACGATGTATTAATATTGTACACTCCAATCAACAAAGCAAATCTTATAAGCTTCTATAGACATTAACCATCATATATAAGTACAGAAGAACAAGGGAATAGCGATTGGGGAGGGGTGTGGGAGTACAGATTTCACTAATTATGCATTATTGATTTCAAGGATTGTTTCCAACATTTTGTCGAAGTCTGCCTCATAATATGCTCATGAATTTGAACAATGGTCCATTCCAGTTTCCAAATTCACAGGGGAGTGTATACATGTGGTTGTTTTCTTGGTCATGGTTGTAACCCTCAGTAAAAAGGCTAGATAATGTCACCTGATAGAATTTGCATATATGCTATATTCCACTAACCGTTTCTATCTATCAAATGTTGGGAGAAAAGCTCTCAGATGCTATCCATGTCATTGTAGAGTAGTCGAGGCATCTATCCCTGTGTGGGGATTAGAAGTTTCAAGCACGAAAGCAATTCATGCAAGTTTTGCCACCTGCCCCAGCTAGGTATGATATAAAGCTCGCTCACCATCTCCTTTTGGTTCATGGTGCATTCTATCATTTCATTTTCCACTTGTCCTGTAATATGCAGATTTGTTCTATTAGGATCGGATATATTCACATCTGTCATCTTCATGATGCCATTGCTCAGAATTCTTGATGATCCAGTCGCGAGACAATGTTTGGTTGTCTGTTATAAGTTGTGTGGTTCTAACATGAATGCGCACAGAACATAGACATTTAGCTCTAGCTTGATTTCATTGTTGAAGTCATGGGATTAAACTTGCCCTGGAAATATCAGGTTCTAACAACTGCACTGCTACCATTTTTCACTTATACATGTTTCATATCTCATACAAACAGAAATTAATCATTATGAATAAATTAACAATCTCTCTTTGCCTCACAAAGATAAAGAAATCCCACTTTCCCTAACAAGTTAACAAGACAAAACAAGCTCACTTTGCCTAACAACTGCGCTACCATTTATCACTTATAGATTGTTTCATACCTCAATACAAACATAAATTAATCATTGTGAATAAATTAACAATCTCTCTTTGCCTCACAAAGATATAGAAATCCCACTTTCCCTAACAAGCTAATAAGACAAAACAAGCTCGATCTCTATGGTCGAAATAGGGACAATAATGTGATTTTCAATTAGCATGGGAATAAGAATATGTTACTGCCTAAAAAATGATATAGAACATCAAATCTGCTGCAACATGCAGATGTAGACTCCTTTCTTTTCCGACTCATCATCTTTAAAATCTGAGAGCTAGATCGAGAATCCCACGAGTAAGTTGAGTCCATAAAGTTTTAGATTCTTGAATTACAACAGTAGGCTTCACGGACACTATTCTCTGACTCTCCAGCATTTCCAAAATGTTGAAATAATATCTATTGCCAGCAAGGCAACAGTCTTAAGTCCTGTTGCATGCGAAACCAGTGAAGGCAGCAACATCATTGTCCAAGGAAAGGGAAGGTTCCCACCTTATGATTGGTTGTTGAAGAACAAAACAGTGATGATTCCAGGGTGAGAGCACCTTATCATGGCTTTATACTATTATCATCTCTTTAGTCTTTACACCATATCAGCCTCTACTTGTAGAATTCTTTAATTTCAACTTTTTGAGCCATTGTAAGTTCTATAAATTCCTCTACATCATTCATAAGTTCATCAACCTCTTCCTACTGCAAACGCTCTGAAGAGTCGATAAGCTTTACCTTCACTCTCTTCAAAACTCATTTCCTCCCTCATGAAAAGATAATATTGGGTCAGGATTGGGTAATCTGCATCCTGAGGTTTAGATCAGCATATTTGTCGCATCTAGTCCTCGGGATGCAGATTAGATCATCCTCACTGCCAATGCATGCAACACCTACAATAGTCCAATCCCAGTTGAATCTGTACCACTTGAGGTGGCTACACTGCATGGAGAAACTTTTCTTTATCCTCTATGAGTTTCTTATCATGTTGTCATTTTATCTTCCATTTCATTTCCTTCACGTGGTATCTAACAGTATTATTGATCTTCGCTTATCATTTCATTTCCTTCATGTGGCATCTAACAGTATTTATCTTCATTTCCATTTCAGCTCCTTCAGTTCTACATAAACTCTGCAAAAATCACGTGGTATCTAACAGTGTTGATCTTTTGGCTTAGTTTTTCTTTAAGGATCACAGGCACAAGAAGACATCTTACCGCAACACACTCAATAAAACGCTTCCACTTAGAGTGCTTAAGGATTGACGTTGTATGTGTGTGTGTGTGTGTGTATGGTGCTTCCTTGGAAGAACATGTCATAGCAGGTTAGACCATCCATCATATAGCTTCATTATTTAGTAGTATTTGCGATAAGTTTAGACGCAGACAGTATGATATAATATAATTAAAGGAGTTTTTTCTTAGACAGATTGGAGTACGATAAAACCAACAAGAGGCTCTATATAGCTTACCCTAGGCATGTGTCGAATTAAAATCACTTACTATTTCTTATGCAAATTTTTTTGCAATTAACATATCATATTGTACAGCAAGAGAAATCGACGATCCCGGATGCGTTGATGAAAATTTCAAATAATATATTGTAGTAGTTCTGAGCTTGTATGAAGTATAACAAAAACTACACAGCAGAGATATGATTCTGTAAATCAGTTTTTTTCTACTATCTGCAGCAATCCAATGGCTTCTTCCTTGCTTTCTGTCCAGTCCTTGCCATCCTTGAAGACAAGGAACTCCATCATTTCCACACAGAAAAAGATGAAACTCCCACATAGATGTGAAATGCAAGATCCGAAGTCTTTGCCAACCACGCAGTGCCAAGCTGGTCCATAAGCTTCATCTAATTTCTTTTTTATTCAAATTTAGTTGGATGTTATATTAGATAAATTTAGAAGAAAAAAAAAAAAAAATCAGCAAAATGATTGATGAACACCATCATTCTCTAATACAGACAGCATTATAGCTTAAAAAAAGATGACATGAATATAAATACATCTAAAAGTATTTAAATGTACCGGATTCATTTTTATTTCTTATGTTATGGGTTATGGATTGAGAAAGATTTCAGAACAATAAACAGCTCTACAATTTCGATATTCATTCAGTAACTCATCAGTGTTCCATCTGGTATCCAATGTCTCCTGTTATCCAGGAAGTTGCGGGGTGAGAACTTTGTATTGTGTGTGATATGACACTGCTGTAATTACCATTCATCCAGTGAAGGTGTTAACCAAATCAAACCACAAAAAATGTATCCCAACCACTTGCAATTGGTATGCAAAATCTTTGTTCACTATCAATCTCTATCCTATAATCATACTTTTGGGGCTTTGTTAATTGATGTGTAAATTCAGGGGCACTTGCTAAGGCAAATAATCTGTGAAATGACCTCCATGGTATATTCCTATGTTTTGATTTGAAGTTAAAGTTAAAGGTGGATATATACTGATTAGACATATATATTTTGTCTGATAACTGATTCTTACTGATTTAAAAATGGTTTGGTTCGCGTTTATTCTGGGCCGGTGCTAACTGTAAACCAAATGAACCTTTAAACAAACAATCACAGGGAATATATGACTTTTTTCCGTACACACATACATATATATACAGAGGAAAAGATATCATCTTAACAGGGATCAGCAAGCAAATCATTCATTAAATTCTTTTGTGTTAAAAATCATGGTTCTTAAAAGTTGATCCAATAACCTCTCTTTCCCCTCCAAATACATTTGTTGCCTATCCAAAAAGATAAACTATATGTCTATCAGATGGCAGCTGAAGTTTGAGCACAGAATCTCTTTTACGAAACATATCATGACTTGCCTTGATTTTGAAGAAGATTTCAAATCAAAAAAATGGGATGAGGTTGTCTTTCCAATGTTGTCATGCTTGGGGTATAATATCTCCATAGCTCATGAGTTTTACTTTTTGCAGTCATGTCTTTTTCCTTTCAGGAGAAATGAAAAACATGTGCTTTGAAGTTTCGTTACCACGATCTAGTTTTTTTACTATAGAAATTTGCATAGTTACAATACCAAGATCTAGTTTATTGACATTTTGATGTCCCACAAAACTAGGAACTGGATGAGTCAGTGGGCAATTACAGCAAAAGGCAACAGTAACCTTAAATGATAGTAGCAACCTACATGTATAAAATTCTACCTCTACGGCATTGAAAAGATTTCAAGGTTAAAAACAAACCTGTTTAATGTGATGAGCAATAGATTGGCAATCGGAGACTTCATGTAGATCAAGAGCCTGGTAAGCTAACTCCATGACCTGGCTTTGCATCTCCTTTGGCATATCCGTCTCACGCACTATTGCTTTTCCCTCTAACATCTTAACAAGCAAAGGGTATGTATGTTTTATCATGCTCTAGCTGATGTATCGAGGAGTCAGTAACCCAACCTATATAGTGGAAGGAATAAGTAAAATTATCAGAAAAGGAGGATAATTAATCGGAGGTGGATATTAAATTCTGAATCATGATGTTTCTGGAAAAATCATAGCTCTTTGATATCGACACGTATTAATTACAGTGGCAACTTCCACAACTGTTGTATATGGTCATAAAACCACAGCTACTATTTTACAGAAGTTAAAAAGACTATCTTGTGACAATCTACCAAAACACAAGATACTTTTTCACACAAAGTAGTATTTGTGTTAGCTAATACATGGAAGACTGTGACTGGTAAGGTTATAATATCCGAGAAGTTAAAAATTACATATATATGATGTGCACTTTGATTGCTCTCTAGTTGGGAGTGGTCCATGAATGTTGTGAAGATACGACCTGACCTGAATGGTTTTGGACAGAAGGAGCAGACAAAAAATTGAAAACATATGGCTGTAAAGATTCGAATCTGGTGTTTTGTGGTGGTAATGCTATCAAATGCAGACCAGTCAAACAGCTTCATGGTCAAGCTCAGTTGGAAGATTCTTGCAGAAATATTATACAAACTACATATAGTGAAAACTTTCATAAAGGGCTTTGAATGCTAATGCAACTTATGATGATGGTCATAAAGCTATAAAAGCATTCAGAGTCCAATCTGATCTTTAGACTACTGATTACCTGAAATATACAGAGCTCAGGAAAAAGTTGATTTCTTTTCAATATTTTTTGTTATAACAAAAACAATTACCTGTTGCATGTTAAGGGACAATCTGGGCTTCCACCAAACAAGACATCACACGAGGGGCAAACGGAGATTGGACGACCACAACAACCACCGAGCCTTTTTCTCAACTATTTGGAGTCAGCTCCATGAATACTGTGTTTCCATTCTGCTCTATTTATGAGCCACAACCTCAGTCAAGCCACTTGATGTCATATACTCGGCAATATGAGATTGGACCAAATAGAAAATCACTGCTACACTGGATGGTAAATTTTTCATTGAAGTATCATCCTACATTATCTGAGCAATGAAATGTCCAGAGACAGAGAGATCAAAAAGGAAAAATCAAAACATTGCATACTTATAGGGATTCAGATATTAAAGTTACCAAAGCCTCTTTCTTCATATATAGGAAAGTACGTATTATGAGGCAAGAAAAGCTCTTTTACATGTTATATGCCAGTTTATAGGAGCATGTTATTCCCTATCAAAAACCAAGGTCCAAAATATTCTTGTTCCACAGAGCATCTTAATGCTTTATTATCCTTGCAATTTTGCAACTAATATTATATTGAAATAACTATATTCGTACGGCCTCTTAACAAGAGATACAGGCACACACAGTATGAATTCTTAGATCGAATTAAAGTTAAGAATGGAAGAAAATGTGCCTATCTTTCTTTGATTTAGGGAATATTCAGCCCATTATTATCATTATTTTTCTACAATTATCACCTATAAAATATTATTTTTATTAAAGTTGTTTAGGAAAACCACAATAGTTTGTAGGTTATAACGGTGCATTCGAAATTTGTAAACCATCCAATGGTTCAAAGTAGCTAGCGGTTGATTTGATTCTTTCTTTCAAAAAAACAATAATAAGTAAAATAAAATAATCACATTAAGAAATAATTGCAACTTACAGGTTCAATCATTTTCAGGCGTCAAAATCAATTTCCACAAACAATGAAGAAAATATAAGTGCAATAACAAATGATCATGGTGGCCAGTAAATTAGAAACTCATAGGAATTCTTGAACTGTAATTTTACAGAATAAGAGCCAAGAATCTTTGACTGAACGGATCCCACTTAAAAGAGAGATCTACAAATGAAAACTCAGTATTTGAAAATTAAATCAATAAATTTAAAATTAATCATCATTCATGTGGCAGACAATAGGCAGAAGAAAAGATTTGGATTTTCTTTACTTAAAGTGTTCAATTCTATATTACCAAGAATCAAAGAATAATTCTTCAACGAAACAACCAAAGATCATAGCATATACAAATGAATTATATACCAAAAATTTAAGCTCATTTATTGAATAAAGTTTTCATTAAATTGTCAATTTAAACTCATCCCTCTGCACAATTTCATAAGAATGCCAAACCCCTAAACCAAAATTAAATTAAAATGATTTCTTTTCCAGGATTGCCCTTCCAACAAACCCAAAAAATCCAGGAAAAAAGAAAATCTGTACAGCAAGAAAACCCCAGTTTTCAAGCCTTGGAAAAGAAAATCATTGAAACAGAAAACCCTAATTTTCTGATTCTAACACAGTACCCAATAAATTCTTCTTCAATCCTCAGTAAAAGATCACTGCAGACCCAATAAAGAGTCTCTCTTACCGAAAATGCCCCCAATTCCATTACCTTGACCTCAGCAAGAAAAAACAGAGTTCTTGACCTGAGCACTCGTCCGGGTTGATCAGGTGAAACGACTCCGAGTCAGCACTCCCCACCACACACTCGTAATTAGCCCTCATGTACATGAGCTCATCACCGTCACTCTTAAACGACCCGGATCCGTATCCTGCCGGGATAACGCCCGCCCCGACCGTAACGGACTGCATCGCCTTCAGCATGAGGCGGTTCTGCTCCGTGGCTTTTCTCCGAACCGCGAACCCGAGTTTGCGACCGTTACAGGTCAAGGTCCAGATGGGGACGGAGTGGAGAGGGCAGGAACTGAGTTCTGAGTCGGACGGGTGTTGGCACTCGAGTGCGATTCGGACTAGCCCGCAACGCATTTCCTTGACCAGGAGGTGGGTCGGGACGGAGAGTTCGAGGAGGAGGGAGGGTTTGGTGTTGAGGCGGTCGTGTTGGACGCAGAACCAGACGTGGCCGTGACGGTGGCCGAAGATGGTGCCGATGACCATTGTCTTGGAGGGTCGCGGTGGTGCGAGAGGGTGGGCGGTGGTGGTGCTATTGTCGGTGGAGGTGGAGTCGTCTTCTTGGTTTTTGGGGTCTTCGATGTCGTCTCGAAGCGAGGTGCTTATGCGTTTCTTGGTGGTGGTAATGTTGGTTGGAGTGGTGGTGGAGGGTAAGGTGAAGCAAGGGAGGAGGAATCGACGGAGGGCATCGATCTTGGTCATGGTTGTTTCCGATTGGGGTTTAAAAGACGACGAAACGAAGAGAGACGAAGAAAGGTTAAAGATTGAGGAGCGAATGGATTTTTTTTCGGTTTTGAAAGGACGAATTGAATCTGGGGTGGCTTCGTACGACCGTACGGGTCTCTGCAATATGTTATTTATATATATTATAAACAGAGACTTACAGAGGGCGGGAAAATATAGCCGTTATATCGAGGGTTTTAGAGAGTGTGTTTTTCTTTTTCTTGTTTAACTTAAATCAAATTTAGAGGCATTTATAGGGTTTCTCTAAACAAGACATGTGGAAAGGTAAAACCATATGGGACTACCTTGCAAGTTGCAACCAATGGATGGCAATGACATATATGGAGAGGTAACTCTCAGTGTGGTTCAGATCTACTTGTAATAATTTAGTCCAGAATCTTAACCGAAGATTTTGATGCGTTAAAGGAATTGAATGACTACATTTGTTTCATTAGAATCCAGATTATATAACTAGCATTTGCTGCTGAATAAACTAATTTAAAAATGAGATAACATTTTTGATATAGAAAGTCACCTCGTGATAAGTCGTTTATTACACAACAAACTCGATTAAGGTAAGAATGATGATGATGATGAAGATTTACGGTTTACCGGTCAAGTGCACTCGTTCCCAGTAATGGCCTCCCAATGGAAGGTTTCAACACTTGTTCCGAGTTACCACACACTCAATATGTTTCTCGGAAAAGGTTTCAAGTCGACGCTGCGCATATGAGCAGAAAATCATGGTTATATTGATAGTGTTTTTAAGTTCAGCAGTTTCCAGAAACAGAGAGATCTCGAGTGTTTTTAAGTTAAAAGGAATGGTTTCCTTACATCACCATTAAAACAAGGACCTGATCAGAAGAAAGCGTAGTGTGAAAAAATGCACATTTATCTTCTCTCTAGATTACATAAATAAGAGTATTAACAACATCCCATTGCACATGCAAAACAACACCTCCATACATTCCCCAGTCACCCAAAGAATAGCTGTACAAAATAATTATTATACACGGTGAAATAGGTAAAGGCATCAGGATGTGGTATTAAAAGTTGCCCCAGTAAGTTGAGGAGCACATTGTTGTTCCTCACCCTTGAGCAGAGCCATTCTTTGTGTCCTTGAATGGATTTGCCTGTTATTAAGGACATCAATATACATTCGGAGCCTATGCCGATCCGAGTTTGTGAGAGAGAAGGGAGGATTGAGAATGAGGGAAGGTGCTTCCACTAGAAGAAACACTAACAAGCGCACTGCTTTTGAATAAAAAACTGCTGCAGTTTCCGTATCACCCATGTACTCATCAACCTGCCAAACATAAATGAGACAACAATGTTTAGAATAACAGAATCTCTTAATTATCTTCTTCTTTTTTCTTTTTTTTTAACCTGACAAGGAACTCTTAATTATCTTGACTGGTGAAGAAAGTCACCAACAAAAACACGTTTGATAATTAAGAACACGATATTGACTTGAATGACAATAAAATAAACCCTTATAAACGTGTGTCTACCATGTCAAAGCAGTAAAAATTAAAACATGAGTACAAAACTTTTCTCTTTCTTTTTCAAGTTTTACCAGGCCCATTGTACCCCAATAGTATTCGGAAGCTTCCCCAGTGGCCCCACGTTAAAGTAAGGAAGTTCGAATTAGCTTTGCTAACCGTCAATAGGGGTTATGGTTTCTGAAGTCCTCATGCGTTACAAAAGATGAAAGGGAAAAATATAAACCTTTTGAGTCTTACCCCGTATCTAGGTAGGCATAAGCCTGTTAATCTCTACCCCCAAAGTCTAGTTTAATCAGATACATTGAATGAAGTGTACAACATTATGATTTAACAACAATGCAATAGGAAGTTTAGGATTTAACATTATAAACAAAAAATGGAATTGCATGTCATGGTTTTAGTGCAAGGATATAAAATAAATACTTACAGCCCCGTGTCTGCCCAAAGCAAGAGCAGATTGAAATATTGTCTCCATCGCATCTGGCATCTCCATATTTCCTAAAAATGTAACAACAAACTTGTATGAGTCTCTTATTCCTCACAAAAACAAACCATGAGAGCCAGCTTTTGTATTCCAACATACACACACACACATGCATACCCACCCCTGCATATCTAGCAAAATGGAGATGTTCCTGCCAATAAGATTCAAGGGACATTCCCAACCCTCTGCAGTAAAAGTAATACAAATACGAGAATACAGCTCAATATTCCTAATAATACAGCAATATCATATGTTTGATATTAAGGCTCAAGAAAAGATTTTTGGTTGGCATGCATCACTTCAATCAAAAGATCATAGGATGCAGATCTTCATAAAAGTAAAATATTTAATACTACATAAATAAAAATATCACCTATTCATGTTATTAGTCCTTTCAGAATACCTTTTGAAAATAAAATTTGAGTCCAACTGGTTAAAAAGCATAAAATGAAAAATCAAGTTTTAAATACATGACATAAACAGATAGTAAGAACCAAAAAAAGAAAATGTTGACACTTATATCAGAATCATAGTATTGAAAAAAATAGACTAAAAAGGAGGAAAGCCTTTTAACATTAGTAGGTAACATAAAGAGATCAAAACCATACCAGGCTCAATAACCTTGGAAAGTTCCTCGGCATTCCCAACTTCAAGAAGAAATTCCCTCTCAATTTGAGAGCAAATATCCTGCGGTCTTTGGGAGTGAGCAATATCAAGACACGCTTGGATATCATGACTACAATGCTCCTTCTCAACACTCCCCCTCAATCTGGCAGTCTCTTGGCTTGGGCTTCCATCCATAGCCGATGCAGCTTGTGTATGGCAAATATGAAGTGCCTGCTTCCATGTTGCTAGAATGACGAGCTGAATCGAGAATGCTTCCAGTTGCCTACCTGCATCAATCTTTCCAAACAACAGAAACAAGGTAAGTATTTGGAGCAAGAGACAATGTATATAACAACAAACAGCAGTTGTACGAGTAAAGAAATTCATGGTACGGTGAGGCACACCAGAGGAAGGGTCTAGAAATTGCAATCCATGCATGCAGCACACACGCAGATGGGTCAGAATGTAATATCTATTTAGACTTGCCGTAGGAATATTATCCCGAGTATTAATGTAATAAATTATGGATTCACTCGTGCATTTTGAAGTCCATCAGTAAAAATTAACCATAATTTCTTTACACAATCCATTTAATTGGTAAACAATAAGAATTGAACCTCAAATCGACAGTACTGCCTTAAATGTCTTTCACTAGCATGACGAAAAAACTTTGGCATCATCAAACACAATTAGATCATGTATAGGGTCAGATACATAGCCTTACATGAGATGAATGGGGCAAAAATCATTACTATAGACGGCCCGAGAGTGACACATAAAGCCTCTTTTAATGTAGATTCCAACCCTGCATGCGGTTAGTACATTGTTGACAGACAATTAAGAAACCTAGTCTGACTACAATATCACTGAAACTATGAACCATCCAAAGATGCCTACCATACATACCAAAAAAAGGCATGGTATTCGAGACAAGAAAGGTCCTTAAGTGAATTAAGCAGATAATATATCTAATTATATATCTGGTCTGATCTAGAGTAGTTTTTGCACTGGGATAGATATATTCCATTTCCATAAGCGCCACATAGCTTTGAAATTTGTGAATGTGTGGCTGGTGGGGGAGGTAACACGAGGAAGGGAGAGATTTATGTATCATCCCTCTGGTCACTCCACGGACTGTACCTTTTTCTCCCACAAAATATTAGGAGTCAACTACAAATGACATTGTTTGATTGCACAAGTGACAGTTGTTATGAGTTACCTTATCATTTACTAATTCCCTGATAGCAGAAGCACACTGCCGCAATGACTTAATTCTTGTCATGCAGTGAGTTGATGGCAGCTCCAAAGCATCTCCTAAGTCCATGGATCCTTGTGAAGTCCCAGAAGGAGCAGAGCTGTGACTTTCCAAGCTTCCAATGCAATCCAGTTTACTGACTGCCGCACCAATGATTGGCACAGGGGCACTTGATGTGGAGATAACATTTGCAGCTGCTTGTGGGGGACCCTCTGATTTACATGGCAAATGGCTTTGCTTGGAAGCACTTGCTGAAGAAGATGATGCATCCATAGCCGAGCCAGACACAATAACATAGTCCTGATCAATCAACTCCAATGAATCCGCAACTGTAGAATCCATGCAAATAAGACAATAAAAGAATAAGGAATGTATTTTAGCAAGACAGATAATAAATATAGATAAAGAATATTTGGAAATTTTGATGGAACATTATGAGATATGGAGGTACCTCTTGAAGTCACTGGTTTTTGGTCCATGGATTTCAATGATTCTTTTAGATTTCCTTCTAAATGTCTATGACTATCAAATCTAAAACCAGTACTTTCTGGTTTGTGCTTAACAGCACTATACTTGGAAGTAACATCCATGTTGCTTGAAGTGTTGGCCGGTTCCCTCCTATCAACTCTTGTTTCAAGAGAAAATCCATATCTAGCCAAGTTGTTTGAAGTGTTAGGCAAATCCCTCTTATTAACTGTATCAAGAGAAAATCCATATGTAGAATTCATAGAAGACCTCCTCCTAGAAAAGGATGGACTCCCATCAGGACCACTGGAATCATCATCAAGACTGAAAGGTAAACAATCTTCTTGAGAACTCTCTTCTGAGTTCCTCACTGGATTGCCTTCAGTAAAGGGGATACCATCTATCATTCTTGATGATCTCCTGTTCCTGCAGACAAAAGCATATTTCATAATTTTAGCATAAAGAATGAGGAGTATTGCCGGTCGATATTATGAAAACTAAAACTCTCTGTTGCATTTACCTAGAAGGGTCATCTGGTTGCTTCTGAGAAAGAAAAGGGTGGTTAAAGAACTCTTCAAATGTTAAACGTTCCACTGTGGATGCAAGGATACGGAAAAGTTTTAGACAAAAAGGGTCGAATTGAAATTAAGCAGGATCACATAATTTTGAAATGTGAAAAGATAAGTCAAACTCTCATGACTCTTGTTTCATCTTTCACCCATTTGTCTCCAGAGAAGCTGTGAATTTGGCAATGGTTTACTTAACAGCAGAACTTATATTGTATAAATTGTAATCCTATACACAGTACAAAGTTCCAAAATAGTAATATCATGCCACGTTTTGCAATGAATTTCACAAGATTGAATATGCCTCCAGCAAAGCACCACAGTAGCACTGGATTGTGGCATCCCATCCCTTCATTTCTGGTAAGAGTAATTACCGGGCAGGTGGTCCAAACAGGGCAACTTTGAAAGATCAAGGTACTGCCTGGACCTGGACGTTATAGAATTATCCTGAACCTATGCAAAGCTAGTTAAGTTAAAATTTATTAGAGAATAGCATAAATTTAGTTCCCTTGTGGAATTTGGTTATTAGGGGATGTGAACAACATGATTCAGAAGTCTAAGACTCTCTAAGTATTTCCCACTTGTAATGGAACTAGAAAAGGATGAACAAATTGATAGTCGCATCTCATGCACGTCGCCTTCCCACAACTGAATACAACTTAGTACAACATATAAAATACTTTAGCACATTAATAATATAGCATGATTTATTTATGGAATGAAAAGCAACCTAGTAAAACTGAAGTGTTCACTTTGTGCCACGAAAATTTCGATTAAACGATAAAAAGAAAGACAACCTTTGGATTCAGTAATTAGTTAATTACTATCATGGTTTCAGTGATCTTATATGCTGCCAATATCAAGATACATGGGATATACCAGGATTGCGGCGGAGCAACTTTTGGCACAAATCTATGCAGTCTAAACTCAAATTCTTTTTATCCGGAGGAAAATGCAATTCAGATGATTTCACAATGTTCTGGAGCAACTGCACAACACATGAGACGAAAAGGTTTAGATCAAAGCAAAAGGGCACGAAAAACTACTAATATAAATTTAGGTCCAAGAATTCTTACTTAGGCTGAAGAACAACCTAAAAGTGTTAACAAAAAAGAAATCAAACCTGTTTTGGATCGTTTCCTGTAAATGGGGTTTTCCCGGTTACTAGCTGAAACAAAATGGCGCCAACACTCCAGAGATCTGCCTGCGTTTTTAGTTCAAGGTTAATAGGAGAAGATTGTGCAAAAATAAATAAATAAACAAAAAAACAATAAATAAATAAAAACAAAAGTACTTGTACTTGCATATGGAATATTTAAATGTCACCTTAGCATCATACTTCTGAAGTAGCATTATTTCTGGAGCCATGTAAAGCGGTGAACCACACAGTGTTTCTGCAAGGCCTCTAGGTTGAAGAGATCTGATAAAGAAAACCGCACTGTTCAAACTCTTGACTTTGAACTTTTAAGTAGAAGAATTTTGTGAAAAATATTTAGCTGGTTGGTAGTGTTATAAAAAGAAGAAGAGTCAGACATTCATAATATAATGATCATGCTTCAAAACCAAAAGAATAGCCAAAGTGACCATTTTCGATACACAATGTCAATAATACAAAGGGATGGTGAGATAGATGGTGATATAATTAGTAGAATTGAAGCAAGTTGGAGATAATGGAGACAGACTATTGGAATTTTATTTGATAAAAGAATAACAACTAAATTAAAAAAAAAAAAACTTAGTGAACAATTATTGGGCCAACTATTTTATACAATGCAGAGTGTTGGGTGTTAAAAAAGAATAAGAAACAACGAATTCATGTAACGGAAATGAGGATGTTAAAGTGAATGATAACGATGACTAGAAGAGACTGGGTTTACAAAAAAAAAATGTGAGGGAGAAATTACAAATTGAACCTATTAGTAATAAGATAAGAGAAAATAGACTGAAGTAGTATGGACATATATCCATAAAGAAATCTACAGACGCTCCTGTAAGAAGAGATAAACTAATTTACATAGAAGGTAGAAGGCAAATAGGGCAACCAAAGTTAACATGGGATGAAATCATTAGAAATGATTTAAAGAACGTAAATGTTATAAAGAGATGGCCTGAAATAGAAAATAATGGAAAAAGAGAATTTATGCTGCCAACCTCTTCATATGGGATTAAAGCAAGGATGATGATGATGTGGTCAACCCCATCATATGGGACTAAGTCAAGGATGATGATGATGACAAAATATTAATAATAATAATGATAAATTACATGGAGAAATAACAGACTAGCAAAAGAGGGGAAAAAAAAAAAAAAAAGAAGTGAGAATAGGTGAAATTTAGTGGAAATTTAAACCTTTAAAATAACAATTTTTTTAATAAAAAATGTTAGCACAATCACAATAATGTTGAGAATGCAACGATCATATATGGTTTTATCAAAGATATATCAACAAAATTTTACATCATCAAAAAATAAATCTATCACAGATTTTACTTAAATATAATAATAAAAAACTTACAATTTTCAACTGGGAAGGCCCAAATCATACACTTCTATAACAGTCTTGGTTTGAGTTATATTTTATGAGTTAGTCAGGTACTATTCAAGTCTTAGTCATAGTTTATTATTTGACAGGCCAAAAATAAATGCAATCAAGCACCTCAATCCTTAAAATTATAATGCACTTAAAAACATTGGGAGTTCAGATTGCCAAAAATGGATTCGTTTGATATGAAAATGTTGAGATTATTTGACCATTTTAAAGTAGAAAAGTACTTTAAAGTTCCAAAAGCACAAGAAAAAGAGGCTCCTGCAGGTAGATGATGCCACGTGTACTATCAAAATTAAAAGGAATACTTGCAGTCTTGTACAAATGAGAGATAGATGGGTAGTGGGAGTTGAGTGTCTAATCATGGAGCTCCTCTGAAAAATAGGTGATGAGAGAATCCACTCCCCCCAACACCCCCCCCCCCCCCCCCCCCCCCACCAAAAGAAAAAAAAAGATTTTTTATATACCTTGCAAATCCAAAATCTGCAATCTTCAGGACTGATTTGTCGTCATTTGAGGAGAGAAGGAGATTCTGTTTCAGAAATCATAAACATCAAAATTGAATATATCGTATAAAATGCCTATTGCATTGTGATATTATAAATTCTAAATAAATTAATTTTGCATCAATTTTCTCAAAAAGAACAGAAAAACATTAAGAAATTCTATGGAGAAGTCTTTACCCTCCTCCAAAACACAGTTAGTTGATTTTAGGTAAGGATACATACCAGCCTGCTTTCTAATAGCATTTCATAGCAAGTTAAAACATACCATCCCCCAACTTCAGTTCCCATTTCAGACATTGATCTTCGTTATTTTTCATTATACAATTTCTTTTTAACTCAATAAGAAATTCATGGTCTTAAAGTAGAATAAGAGACACTAGAGTCAACAAATGATAGGTTATTATTTGTGAAATGATGGGATGATGACGACAACTTTCCACATATATTAAACAATGTATATTGTCATACTTTCCCTGGATGCAGAAAGTTTTCACCTAAATATGCGAAACGCCATCTAAGTTTCTTATCAGGGCTCGTCTCTTTTAAAAGACAACCACTTCTACCATACTGCAGGAACCCGATGCAAAGAGCTTGTGAGGAAAAATGCAAATCAAAGCATTGACATATTAACCCAATAAGATAGGATAATAGTACGATTTTTTTTCTATATACAGTGCACGCCCGTCTCTTGGGGTGTCTTCTATGTGAAGATCATAGAGGGAGTAAAATATGTAGCCCAAGTCTGTGGTTGGGAAAAAAGCTTCTTGTTGTTGTAAGCTATGTAACCAGGATCACTGAAGTAATTGTATCATGATCATGAATTCATTTCTTCTTTTTTTTGAGAAATATGATAATGAATTCATTTCTATCTCCCTACTCCTTCTCATAGAAGTTACAAGTCCTTCCTTCATCAACAATTCTAGTAAAAGTTGTTTAAAACCATCACACTCTGTATAAAATTTTTGTTATATGCTTCCTAATTTAATGAAAATCGTAAACAGCCTATCTTCTTCTCCCAGTGTCTTTCCATCAGTTTGCCCAGGTAATTAAATATCTTCCACTTGGTAAGTTATATCAATATGATTCACATATTTAACATAATGATAGTTAATTCAACCCCAAATTAATCTTTGTTATTAAAAATGGGTACAAATTTTCTATCCCCACCCTTTTGGCATTTTCTTAGTCTTTCAATTATGTAAAGATATAGTCAACTAACCACCATCACACGTGTATTTTGCGGCTAAAATCTAAAAACAGAGAGAAAGAAAAACCAAAAAACAAAATGTATGCCACAACTTTGGACAAACAATTGTCTGTTAGATAAAAGTATATATGAGAATTTCAAGATTTATGTCAGTCGTATAACATTAATGATTTTAAGCCAAAAAAGATAAAAATGAGGAACGTTAAACAAACCTGTGGCTTTAGATCTCGATGTATAAGATTATTCTCGCGGAGAATTTGTAAACCGGCCGCTGCAGAAGACGCAATGTAAAGGACATCACTGCATGACTCACAGGAGACATGAAATTTAAAAGTAAGAGAAGACTGGAAGATACCTAGTTGCCGCATAAAGTGTTTTGCTGTGGCTTCTGGGACTCCTCCTTGATGTTGTTGAATATACATATAAAGGTCACCCCCTCTACAGTACTCCAATACCAAATGTATCTTTTCAGGTTCCTAAACCATACATAAACGAGACCCAATTTAGAGTGGAAGGATAAAAATGGAAGAGTACATGCAAATTGTTTCTTGGGATGGCCCAAAATTTCGCATCCGTAACTAATCTAAGTTACATAGATATAACAGATTGGGGTAGGTCACAGTCCATCACTTCCAACCTGCCCTACTTAAAAAAAAATACAAAATAAACCCAGCTATCAAAGTGCAAATAAATATCATGTCTCAAATATCCAAAGGCATAGCTAGCCTTCTTTAGTGCCCCAGGAAAGTAGTGAAATCTTCAGAAGGGATAACATTGTTTTAAAGCGCAGCTTACAAATCACATCAATCCATATCATTTCACTGAGCTTAAGCAAATTGTTCAGCTAAGCTGATGCGAGCTTCAGAGAAAATAATATGACATTAAACATAAAGTTCTACTTCTTTATTATTTTCTTCCTGCCTCCCTTACTAGCTTGTCCATTATACATTACAACTGCCAAACATCTATCATTTCAGAAAAACAAGACCCAGAGGAGAAGAATAGGCAGGGATGATAGGATTCAAACCCGTGACATATTTACCCAAGACAATGGCACTACCAAGTTGTGGTACACCCCTTTCAATTGGTCTACAGTGTCATCGCAAAGAATCTCTGCCTTGTTTAATAGATTGTCACTTTTCCATCATATAAAATTTCTCTTGCCATTTCTTCTTTATGTTCTTTGTTGAGTATGGTAAAACAAAAGATCCCAACTTCTATTTCGTCTGTCCATCCCTCCCTCCCTACCTCTTTCATTCTAATTATAGAAACTGCTACAATATTGAGGTGTCTCATTTAATTTCTTGAAAACATGAACACCAAGACACTTATAGAAGACTGGAAATTTCATATCTTTCATTTTCCTCTGTTTTCATAGTAGCCAAACTGACAGTAAAATTATAATCTCTCACCATACTTCAATCCAACAACATAACAGCGGCCATAATATTTAGGTGAGCCTTTTGATTTACTGTAACCCAAATAACACAAAATCCAATGATTCAAAAATTCGATTTTTTTCTCCTTTGATCGGATTCTTAGCAACCAAACCAAAGATTGAATTTTAACATCTACCTACTTCATTCATATCATACACTAACAATTGTCATACCGGCAGAGATGCACACTAACTGAAATATGACATATATACATATTGATATAAAAATTATACATACATATAAGTATAATACGGACCTCAATGATGTCGTGCAAGTGAATGATATTGTTATGGTTGATCTTCTTCAAGATAACAATCTCCGACATGAGACTCTCTTGCAATTTATTGTTCAATCGTCCCGTAGCGATCTCTTTAATCGCGACCTCTGTGCCATGGACTTTGTGCCTCGCGTGCCACACCACCGAGAACGAACCACACCCAATCTGTCTGCCCACCAGGTAGTCCCCAACAACTCTACCTCTGCTCGTCGATTGAGCCATAACGGAACTACCCCTGTAAAATTATTTTAAAAAATAAAAATTAAAATCAAAACCTATAATCTGAAGCTTCAAACCCTAATATCAAGCTCCGAGATTGATCCAATCAGCAAAAATCAGAGAACCCAAATGAGGCTGTTTTTAATTTTTAAATTTTTAAAAATTCTGAGACAGAATTTTGAGGGTTTGGTTTTGGGTTTGAGATGATATGATTGGTGAAGTATACGGAGACAGGGAGGGTTGATATTAATGGAAGCCGAACAATGTTTTGTTTAATATATGAAGGTGTTATCAGATGTTAATTATTGCGATTCGATAACATCATAAGTGAGATGGTTAACGTTGTTTTTCTTTTTCTTTTTCTTTTTCTTTTCAATTTTCCGAATTGGTGTCTTTGAGTTTTGGTGCTTAATTGACTTGTTAATTCTGTAGTGCGTGTTATGCACCGTTGGGGAATTGATGGAGTGTTTTCTTCCTAGTATATTCGAACGTGTGCCAATTTTGCTGTATGCATATGTCTGTTGGCTGAAACATTATCTTCATTTCGTGAGTAATGATGAAACGCGGTAACCAACATCAACAACAACGTTACCGTGAAGGCTGTGTCCATGTCTAATTGGACCTCAAAAGCACCTCTCTCTCTCTCTCTCTATATATATATATATATATTTTTTTTCACAATTAGCAGTTGTTTTTCTTTGAATCTTGAATCTATTTTCTATTAAATGTGATGGCTAATATCATCCGTCTGATTAGGGTATGTATTTTTTTTTTCTTAATCCATCCATTACTAATTAGAATATATTATAGGGTAAAGTAAAAAAAAATGAATTGAAATAATTTTTGTAATGCATGTGAGTAGTCCAATAAATCACTTAATAATTATTTGGGTAAATTACCACGGGCCTTGTACCGGGTTCAAGTTTTCAAAAGAATAGAGTGAGCGTGTGAATAGCGTGTGTAAGTTTCTTGCCAATTCAAATGTGTGTGTGTGTGTGTGTGTGGGGGGGGGGGGGGGGTAAATTATAGTGACAGTTACTGTGATTTGTCCTATTAATAGTCAAATACAACTTGACTATTTTTTAACAATGACATTTCTAAGGACTTGAATCCTCTAAGTTAAATATTCTATAAGTTACAGGAATTGGATCATGTCAAAGTTCAGCAATTGCATATTTTGAGACAATAAGAAAAGTAATATATATATATTAATTTTTTTGTTTTTATTTTTATTTTATTTTTGTTAAATGAGCTATTTACGGCAGGATTTATGACTAACACTCGTGCATTAAAGTGTTGATTCGAGTATTAAATGCTTTATTATTTATGTAAATATATCTTTAGTAAATTTTGTTAATTGTGCAGTTTACAAATTAAATTTGAATTTACTACGTAAATTAGTTACGGAGTAATTATATAATGTTTAATTATATATTTAGTGGCGAAATATAGTACAATATATAATATAACTAATATTTACTGTTTTGGTTGTATGGCAATGGTACTAACTAACAGATTGTTACATATAATTTAACTAATTATTTTACCCTGAAGGTTAGTTTAGTCTATTCAAATTAGTTAGAGATGTTAAATTGGGAACCGTTTAAATTAATAAAATCTTAAAGGACAATCTCCATTTTTGACACCTTTTTAGGGGCTGTTTGAATCCAATTTATGACGGGGATATGATTGTTTTAAACATGAGTCAAGTGATTTAAGTTGTATTTGGTAACACCGTAATCTAATATTTCATGAGGAGAGTACAAGACTCTTTCAATGGGAAGATTTCTTACTCAATTAAGTATTCATCCACTAATAAAAATTAATGAGAAAATTATTTGTTTTATTTTACCACAATGTCAGTGCAGGGCCTCTCAGAGTACCCCCAATAAATCACCATAGAGCACATATAGTCTGCCCTAAATATATTAGGAATCTAATATTTCATGAGGAGAGTACAAGACTCTTTCAATGGGAAGATTTCTTACTCAATTAAGTATTCATCCACTAATAAAAATTAATGAGAAAATTATTTGTTTTATTTTACCACAATGTCAGTGCAGGGCCTCTCAGAGTACCCAATAAATCACCATAGAGCACTTATAGTCTGCCCTAAATATATTAGGCACTTATCGAAAATTTGTAAAGCAAAACCTACACTTTGCACTTGGATTTGGTAATAAGTTTCTTCCCATATTCAAGATCCTAGCTATCATGGTCGAGCATCTCCAATGGCCTCTCAAATGAGCTCTCAAACTCAAAATATAACAGAGATGAAAATAAAACACTCGACCTCTCAAAAGACCTCTCATATTTTGAGATTCTCAAATATATTATCAAATATAACAGTTCTCAAATGTCTTCTCAAACTCAAAATATAGCAAGTGAATGAAAATAGGCACTTCAATGGACCCTCTCAAAAGACCTCTCATATTTTGAGATTGTCAAAAGTTACTAAAATGAAAATAAGGCACTTCAATAGGCTCTCAAACACATGGAATGGCTGTTGTGTCAAAAAATAGTATTTTGGATGAAATGTATCATTGGAGCAGAATTGCAAAAATATAGCATTTTGACATTGTAACTCCTCTCAAAATATAGATTTAGTATAAAAATATAGCATTTTGTATTGGAGATGCTCTAATTGTGCTTTGTTTGGTAGGAATAAATGAAGAGGAGTGGAGGAAGAATAGAAATAAAATAAGGAACTTTTTTTATTAAGCAGAAAAAGAGAAAAGGAGAGAAATAACAATAGAAGGAATTGGTTATCTTTCATCCTTTTATAAATTTTCATTGTTCTAATATGAGCTAAAGAAAGAAAAGAAGACAATTGTTATTATAAAAGTTTTGAATTTTACATTACTACCATAAATTATGCACTTTTAAACTACAATACTATCATCAATAAATAAAACACAATATTATAGATAGTGATTGATATAATGGTAAAAATAATTTAAAACTCTCTCTTTCCTTCTCTCTCAGTGAACACAATAATTTGTGAGATTATTATATTCTCTTATATATAGCCATTGCTATAATGATAAAAATAATTTAAAACTCTCTATTTCATTATCTTCCAACAAATATAATAAACTATAAACTTATTCTATTATCTTTCATAAAAAAAAAAATAAAAATAAATATAAAAAGAAATATGGACGGACATAATATATTGTTTAAGAATGTCAAGTCTATTCAAAATTTTCTCAAGAATGTCAAGTCTATTCAAAATTTTCTCCCCTGCATCTAATTTTTTGTTATTTCCCACCGAACAGAATATAAGAATGTTTATTTTTTTAACAATTTGCTACTATGTCTTTTCATATTCAAAATTTGAACTAACACGTTATTTACTGAGAATGTCTATTACAGTACTCTAACGATTTGCCATTTTCTTAGTAATTTGGGGTTGTTTGGCTCTTTTTTTTAGGGGCGTGTTAAAGTCTTTCGACCTAAGGGGTTGAATAGTCAAACTATCCGTACTGACCGAATCTGAAATCGGTCCTTAGTGAATCAAGCGACTGCTGGAAGGCAAGGATAACTCCTCCCTTCAGGTTCTTCAATGCTTCAATAAATACGACTTTTAGCACTATAAGTAGAATGGATAAAGGGAGTAAAACAAATTACATGAACATTCAACTATTCTAATATATTCTAAGAGGCTTAAAAAATAAAAATAGAGGGGACTAATGTCAAGCGTCCACTTTTATTTCATAAGTAAAATGAGTACAAGAAGTGGAATTATAACACTAGGTTACTCCTATAAACACAAGTAAAATATAAACACAAGTAAAACATCATTAAAAGACTGTATTAAATTGCAGAGAATGAAAAACATTGATAAAGAAATAGAAAATTTGTGTTGGTTAGGGACTTTTTGCACAAGACCCTTATGGTGCTATTTATAGTTAAGGATCAATAGTTTATTTTGGCAGTTTCTTTTTAAATTCAAAAATTATATTTGAATTATAAAAACTTCATTTTGCCTTTAGACTTATCCACATGTTTTAAAACTTTATCCAAACACTTGTGTTTTGAAACACAAAGTGACGTGACTTGAGACTCCAAAATAAGAGTTTCATTAATAACACGTTATATTTATTTTCCTCCAAACAGGGGTTCACTTTAATTTCAAATTAAAACACATTTCTTCTAGCAATAACTACAATTTTTAACGGCCAAATACTCAATAATAGTAGGATAAAGTCACATAGCCCCTCACACCATTATTTTATTGCACAATACTTTCTTATACTATGGTTATGATGGGCTAATGTTTTTGTTTTTGTGTTATTTTTGTTTTTATTGGTGTATTGTAGTAAATCGAAAGCACATGTTTGGTAATGTTTGTTAGAATTTGAATAGTACTGAAGCGTTTTTTTATTTTTATTTAAAAAAAAGCCTAAAACCAAAATCATAAAAACAATACTTTTTATTGTTTTCGGCACTGTAGCAAACTGTTGCCGAACGACCCTATATTTTTGGTAGATAAATCCCTCTATCCAAAAAAAATAAAAATTGCATACATCATCAATCACAGCGTGGGTCGTTAGCGGCAAATTAAAATTAAAAGATTACAATACCCTTTTTAAGAGAAATAATTTAAGGATCAATTTCACATCTATACTACTAGTTTTTCGCAACACCGGTTTTTAAAAACAGATTGCAGAATTGAAGCAGAGCGGTCTGGGTTGTGTAGTTGGTTATCACGCTAGTGTGTGCACCGTTTTTGAAAAACAGATTGCAAATTTGGTACAGGGCGGTCTGAGTGGTGTAGTTGGTTATCACGAGGTCCCCGTTCGAACCCGGGCTCAGACATTTAATGAGTCGGAAGGACCAATTTCCTTCCTTTTCCTTTTTTTTTGCCCTTTCCGCGTACGTTTTCTTTTAGAACACTCAAAATTTTGCTTTTCTTGCATTACTTCTTCCGCAAAATAGCGGCATCGTCTCCCAATACCAATTCATCAATAATACGCAATCAAATTTACACACACGCAAACACACCGTTACAATCATCATTTTCTCTCGCGCCCTTTTTATCTTTTCATTGTTTACTGTTTCGTGCGGTTTTCGTCTTCCTCGAATTGGCCCAACAACCATTTCTAGGGTTTCGTACAACTCTTTGGATTGGACCAAATGGATTGGGGCACCGTGACCACAGAAGATCTTGTCGAAGCTCTCCGTGAAGTGGACTGGTCGTCGCCTCCTCGCCCTCTCTCGGAATTCTTCTCCAGATTCACCGTCCCGAGATCCTTCTCCAAATGGAACAGTCGTCTCAAGTGTAATCTTTACTAGTATGATCCTCCCTCTCTCTCCCTCCAAATCAACTCCCTATATTCGTATATGTATATCTGCAGTATATTTCTATATAAAGTCGGATAAGATTGAACACTGATTGTTCTGTTGTTTTGTTTATTTGATGAGAACTTTGACAAGGATATTGAGAATAAGGAGGAGAAATTTCGGAACCCTAATTGTTTATTGTTTTGGTTCCTGAATTCAGAATATTAACAGGTTTTCTCTTCGTATTTGGTCTTTATAGAGTTGAGATTTGTGGGTACTCTGCTATGTCTGACAACAGAAGACCTAATAATTAAGGGTTGTATTTGATTTTTTTTTTTTTTTTGAAAGTTGAATCGTGTCTAAAATTTGAAAACAGAAAATTAAGTTCAGCGTACTTTGTCATGTAATAATTAAGTTCTTAACTATTCAATTCTTTTCAGTAAAAGAACTCAGCTATCATCCGTAAGTTTATGGAAAATGAAAAGAAAAGAATATATATCAATCAAGTCTTGTACAACGGTGGCTATGCCCAACACTCCATGAATATATCATGAGCAGACAAATTATTCTTGTCATGATTGTAATAATTGGCATTTTTTTTAACTTCATTTTATTATTATTTTTTCTGTGCAGCTATCGAACAAACTATTTTATGATGATTATATTCATTCTTGGTAAGCAAACAGACTTCAGTTTTCTGGTATCTAGTTTCTATTTACAGAATTTTGATATTGGGATAACTTCATTTCAAATATGTCATATAATAATCACCCATCGTCTATTGGAATGGAGAACCACAAATTTACAATTAGTGGGTGGTTGAAATGCACAGAAAGGGATTATGTTTGAAATTGAGAGTTTGGATCCCTATTCCTGCTCATTTGTTTATGTTATGTGTCGAATCTCAACTGCAGGATTGGGATTATTTAGGAGGCCATTGGCTATTGTTGCTGCAGCATTGACAGCTCTCAGCATTGCTTGTCTAAACGATAGGTATGCTGCTTAGCACATGTTGTTTTACTTTCTTTTTTGCTGGACGCATGTATTATCTTGTTATGCATTGGCAATTAAAAGTTTAGTTGATCTGGAGGATCTCAATAGAAAATAGACCCTACCATCATGATTTTGTATATTTGAATAAGTTATTTCATGGAACTTGCTGGATATTTTTGTTTTTGGAAGTTGGAACTTGCTAGATTTTGTGACATGTTTATAATTAGTAAAGGATAGGGGACAAATTGTTATGTTCTTGCAGCTCTATATAGTTCCACAACTTATTGATAATGACACAAAAAAGAGAGAGAGCTATTGATATTAATCTCTTGATTCATAAATGTGGTTGGTGAAATATTTTTTTTATTGAACTTGCGTTGTGAGTTGTCCTGGATGTAGGTTGTAAGATGAGGTTCCTGTTTTGAGCTTGTTTGACATAATTATGTATCTGATGTGAGTAAAAGTTTCTATACTATGCTTATTTCTCCACTTCATCATTTTGTCTTCTCTTTCTATTTTTTCTTGTTTTTTGGTTTGAGGCTTCTACATTTGTGGCATTTTATAATTGTTGAGGGAAGTAACTATTTTTAAGAAGAGAAAATTTGAAATAAGTGATGATCTGTTGTATTTATCTACTACTGCAAATGTAAAGTGACACAGGAAATTCAAACATCTGGAAGATTTCAATACTAATCCCTATCTAGCAACATTCCTACAAAATTCATTTTTTATTCTTCATAAAAAATCCTACAAAATAAGAATACATAATTCTAAACCTGATATATTGTTTCAACAAATGTATCCATATAAGTAGTTATTCTTATGCCTTGTTTAATAGGTGCTTAAGTTGCCTTCAAGATTAGGTGATGATGTGGTTCAATCCTAGCTTTTCACATGGGTGCATTCTTATGTATTTGTGCTTTTCCATTCACTTCTTGCCAAAGAAGGCTTATTGAGTGAACACTGTGCATTTATGTTGGTGGTAATTGTGGCCATGAAGAGGTAGCGTTATTGATGATTCGAGTAGGGACTAGGGCTGGTGGTGGCTGCAATGATGATGTTGGAGTATGCAATAATGGTGTTTTCATGCAAAAGAAATGAAATGGTTTATGGATGTGTGAGGGAAGGCCGGGTTGTTTTTTTCTTTTTTTTTTTGGGGGGGGGGGGGTGTATTACACAGTATGCAAATTTTCTTTCTCTATTTACATATTGGAGATGTGATTCCAAGATGTTAATATACTATTTATTACTTTAAATAAAACTTTTTTGTTCTCAGAAGAAGAAAAGTATTTGAAGGAATGTCAGCACTCAGCATTGAGCAAAAGAGCAAAAAAACTTCTTTTAGCATGTATTTTTGTTTACTTTTTCATTTGTAGACTTCTGTGTCAAATTTCCATCATTTATAATCAAATTGGGTTTCATTGGGTGGGGTCACAAGGTATTCAATTTTTCTTTTTCTTTTTTTCATTCTGATGAAGAGCTTCCAAGAGGTAATATACCATTAAAAAGGGTATTTGAAGGAACTCAAACACTGATCAACAATCCTTTTTTTTTTTTTTTTTTTAATGGAATCTGGCTATCACTACGATATGTTCAAACACAAGGAGCAAATAAATATTGTGATTTTCTTTTTTACATTTCAACATATGACGAGAAAGGAAGTTTAGAAAGAGAAAGACAGGAAAGATGATAGAGCATGGATGGGACAGGATGTTTTCCAAGTCCTTCATTCACAAGAGAAAAATAAGGAAAGAGAGGAGATTAGACGATGAGAGAGAGAAAGAAGGAACAAAAAGGAAATTCCTAATGCTGCTGTTGTAAAGATATACAGCAATAAGAAGAAGAAGATAGAAAGAGCAAGAAGAAGGCTAGAGAGAGAGGGCAATGTGGGACTTTATTTCTTAATCTTTTAATAATATTAAGGGTTCTTTTATTACCTTTGTCTTTTATCTTTCCATCTTTTCCTCCTAAATTACCTTTGTCCTTTAATCTTCCTAAAATTGATTATAAGTGGAAGAGCCCGGATAATGATGGCAAGTAGGACTGCAACACCCTGCTGGTTTGGCTTCTGGCTGTGATGGAACTGTTGCAGTGAGATTATGGAGATTTGAAGGTTGGAATAAGTACTGTTGCTTGAGAGATCTGCATGCAAAGATGTTGGACTTGTTTGTTATTTTTTGAGCAATTTTTAAATTAAAAATAATTAGAAACATGTTGATTAACCTGTGTATTATTCCCAAGCCTCAATGATTTTGTATATGCTTCTGGCGCGGTAGTGGAATAACTCTTGATTATGACTTAGATCATCACCATAATTGCTGTGTGGGACTCACGGGTTTACCTTAAAGATTATAACTAGATTGAATTTCACTTGAATCGCCCCATGTATCCTCCTGAATAGAAGTTTGGTTTCAAACCTTGGTTGAATAGAAGGAGTACACCATGCCAATGTGCGTTGGATGATCCACATCTTAGGGTCAACCACTGATGAGCACATTGAAGTATCCATTTAATTGATAGCCCTCATAAATCAAACTTATAATTAGAAATTATAGATAATTAGTTACCAAATCATCTGACATAAGAGATTAAAAAAACCAATGTGGTAATATGTAGAAGCTTTTTCCTTTTTTTTTTTTTTCTTTGAAAAAAGGCAGGCTACGCGTGCACGATCCCATATCACTTGGGCGTGGAAAGGGGAAGTGCTATATATGTAGGTTTGGTACACTCCAAATGGTATGAGGCCTTTTGGGGTAAAACCCAAGAGCAAAATTGTGCGGGCTCGGGCCCACAATGGACAATATCATACCATATGGTGGAGTGGATTGTTACACCCCTCGCAAAATTTTTGCTGCCTATATGCCTTATGCTTATTACCAGTTAATGTAGTTACCTTATACATTGGAGAATGTGCTATTCGGTTATTTTAGTACGATCCAAGTGTTTACCCTTCATCATTCATTGGAATGTAATTTCGGTCTCTCTCTCTCTCTCGCTCTCTCTATCATGTGTACAATGACGTATGTTTGCAATAATCTTGCTGTCACATGGTGCTTTAATTTTTCTTGGTAATTAACTTGTGTGTTCTCCATCATTGTTGTTAAGCATTAGTTCTACAGCTTTGCAGGTACGTTTAGTGAAAAGGTAACAAGAACAGTGAGGCAGTTTTCTCCACATTTAGCTGCAAAGATGAGGCCTCCTCTTACGTAAGTCTGTTGGCTATTGTAATTGCAAAACATTTCAGTATTGGTGCTCACATAACTGTCTGAAAATTTTGTAGACCTGTTATTCGTGGGCGCCCATCAGCTAAAAGAACGATTTATATATGTGGAAGGCCTCGCTGGGTGTTTGTCTTGATATTTTCTTCTTGTATGGGTTTTAAAATTTTGATTACTTCCAGTTTATGATCGAAATATTGGTATTTAAAGTATTGACTGAATACCTTTTCTCCTTTCCTCTTTTTGTAGTGAGCTTCATCCTTTGGATCGTTTCTTGTGGCCTCTTAACTGTCCTATGGGCATTTTCCTTTGGCCTTCTTGGTATAGTACGCCCTTTTCATTTATAATGGTTTCAAAATTTGTTTGTACACATTGTGTATTTTTCTAGCTAATCTTCTCTCTCTCTCCCACACACGCAGCCACTATGATCCATGCAAGCTTTAGAACACCTAACTTGAAAGCGCGTCTAAACACATTCCGTGAAGAATTTCGTGCAGTTTGGCGCAATTATAGTGAGCTGTAGCTCCCATGGTGTATTGGATGTGAGTAACTTTGGCTTGATTCTTGTTTATCTTATTTGGGTGAAGTTATGGGTGATTGTGTGTAAATTTTGTATGAAATTTTGTGCCCGAGTTCTTTTTCTTTTTTTCATTATTTGTAATCTGTACTTGTGATTCTTCTACCTTGCTTGGTTAGCTCTCCAATCTACTAATCTTTTGTAGTATAACTTTCCAGCTGTGTCTCTCTATGAAATTCCTTTTTTCGAGTGTTTCATATCAGGACAAATCTTTTCTAGAGTGTTCATGATATGAGAAATAGCTTTTCCATCTTAAAGTTAAGGTGTGATTTTGTCCAGATGAGAGTTCAATGTGGTAGGTGCTAAGGGATGCATGGTTATACTAGTGATTTGCCCTCTTAAGCCACAACTAATTGTTGAAAACACAATAAACCTAGTTCAATAACGATCTGAGATTCACGGATGAGGCCTTATCATTTGTTATGAAATCATCGGTGATCTCTGTGCATTGCAACAAATTGAAGTAAAACTTGAAATTAAGAGGAACTTTTGATTTTGACTAGGATAATCATGTCGACTTTTAACATCAAAATTACCTTGCAAGAAATGATTTTACTTTTCAAATCTAAAGTCCTTTTGATTATAGGTTTCTTTTAGATTTGTAATTTTTCTAAATCACTGGTTCCATTTGATTTTCAAAGGTACTTTTGATAGGCAAAATTTTCTTAATATGCTGCGAAGATGACACTATTACAACCAGGCACGGACCAATACATTGTTTAGTAGGGCCAATTGCCCCCACTGAATTTTTATTTTTATTTTTGTTATTATATACCTATTGATTTTTTATTTTTATTTTTTTCGTATTATATACCTATAAAATTTTACAATTGCCCCCACTGAAATTATAGAAAAACTCCACTATTACCCCCACAACATTTTTTATCTTCTTCTTGTTAAAGGCCGCCCCCACTCACATAATTTTCTGGGTCTGTCCCTGATTACAACATGATTATGCAAATTGATGATCTATTGATCTGTATGGAATCATATCCTAATAGAATTTATTTTCTCTTCAATATTTAGTACCAAACATGGGCTAGAGTCCCCCTGATCTTTCATTACGCATTTACCATTCTGACCACATTTTCTTATGATGGTATTTTACATTTTGAATGTGTGTTCTATGTTACTTCCATTTCCTCGTGTCCTTGCCTCATTGGTGTTTGTTTTTGTACTAAAATATGTGTACTAACATATGATGCAAGGCATCTTATGTTTGCTTCACACACATGCACACATATTTATGTATTTGTGTGTGTGTGTGTGTGTATATATTGGTTTTTTGGGAGGGTTTTATTCCTTCCACCATGCTGTGTGCGTGCTGACGCTTGTGCGACGGCCGACGAGTCAGGTGTGATTCAGTAGTTTGATTGATCTTATTAGTGTCGGCCTTTCCTCGTGTTTGTGAACCTTGAGGCTAAAGGAATACTAGATCACTGGCATCTCTTTAGGCTTGTGAAACCTTGAGCTCATGATGCGAGTGTAATGTCTTTTCACTAGCAAGGCTGCAAGAGCAAAGCTAGTGCTGATGACATTTCTGCCCTTGATTTGGGCAATTGCAAAAAGCCTACGTGTAATATAGAGAGAGTGCACATAATCTCCATATACTATACTTTCATGTACATATAAATACTTTCATGTACATATAACTTCATCTATTGAAAATAATTGCAACTTGCACCATTCAATGCAAATCACTGTAATATGAAAATTGTGCATATAACCCCACTGTATCCATTACTAGTATGGGTAAAAAGAATCCTTGTAATATAGATATCGTGCATATAAACACCTTGCAATATAGATCTTGTGCTGATCCCGTTATAATGAGTGCTGTGCATATAGCCCCCTCATATGGTGAAAGTGTATATTTGTAATTTGCAGTCACATGTCCTCCTTTGCAAATTTTTAATGTTACTAGGTTTTTAATACTATCAGGGGGTTATACGCACAATGGCTATACTAGAGGTTTTTGTTGCCCAAGGATTGGCCCTAGAGGGGGAGGGAGGGGTGAATAGGGTCATTGGCAAACTATGAAATTTTTTCGGTTTAGCTTCTCTAAGCTTCTTATACTTGTCTCTTTATCTTGCTAAGAAAACATTTCCCGTAGATTTTCAAGGATTACACAATAACCCCTTTCAATAAGCTCAATATAAAGAGTACAAGTCATATCCCCTATGGACAATAGTTGGATACTAACCTCTTTCTTTCCTCTAGAGCAAAATATGATTCATTGTGATGACGACTCTTATTTAGTGGGCTGTAGTGTAAAACTCTATCAACATTAGGAATGTAAAACAATGAGCTTACTACACTTGATGAGTAGGTTGCTTTAGCAAATGACATTTTCATTTCATACATTGAATCATGCAAATAAGTTATAGAATTAAGTATGAGCACCATTGATTCAAATAAGAAATGAAATTCCTTTAAGCATCAATGCATTCAATTCAACTAACCATTTAAATTTGCACAATATTGATGTAAATAATATCCAAGGGCAAATGTTATGAAACACATTATCATAGAGTTTATAAGAAATATATCGAACATTTGGTGCGCATATAAACTCTAAATGCCGGTTATGTTGAATATGCATTTTGTCAAACACTTGGCGTGCAATTTGACCATAGTTTTTGTTTGTAGAGTTTAAGATTAATTATTTCTTAATGCTTGTAGATTTTACCATAGTTTTTGATTTATTGGGTCAAGCCTGACTTGACTGGGACAATGCATGGATTTCCAATTATTTTATTGTGTTGGTTGCATGGAGTAAGTTGACATTGATAATGTTTTGTGCTATTTGTTTCTCTTTCCCTACATTTTTTTTAGCTAAGTCTCTTTCCCTACTTTTTTTTTAGATAAGTCTCTTTCCCTACTTTTCTTATTAATGTTATATATAATATATTATATATATATATCAGATTTTGCTCTCTTGAAAAAAGTAGATCTTGTTTTAACTTGTTGATTGAGTTGCCAACATTTGGTATGATGAATCACATATGGTTTGGTATGATGAATCACATATGGTTTAATATTTGAAGAAGAGAATTGATTTTTGTTCTGTTATAGCATGCATCTGATAGTTTTGGATCAACAGCCAACTTGATGCAATGGACTCGTAGAAGATTTGCCCAAGATTAATGATTGTAATTGACCAGTCCATGTTATTTTAAAGTATTTTAGCAAGACTGGTGCAAGTGATTCTGTGACAATTGTGCTTGCTGCCTAGCGGTTTAAGATTTCTGCATGGCTTGGCAATATCAAAATTTACTCTTAGGCATCTTTAAATGATTTGTTAGTATTTTAGATAATTATTTTTCTGTTGGAACTTGGGAACTAATGCCTTTTCTCTTTATTTATTTAAATACAGGCTTTCCTGTTGCTGCTGCAATGGAATAATTTCTTTGGTTGTGACATTCAAGTCTTAAGAGGATAGGCTGCCAAACCTTGCACAGATAGTAAACATTTGTAAATTGTTAGTAGCTACTGTTTTTTAGCAACACAAACTTATCAGATTATTAAGAAAAAGAAAATATTCCAGATCTAATATGCAATTAGGTAAAAAAATTCATTTCGTTCTTGGGCCTGAATTAAGGACTCCCTCTAAGAGTCGTATGAGTAACTTCAAAGATCAGTAGGTTGTGACAATGCTAATCCTGTTACTATTTTTTAGGTTTACTACTAGCAGTGATAGTGGTTTTGAGTTGCTATAGATAGCTCTGCACTTGGCTGTCGAATAGCCAACTTACATCTTGGACAATAAATCAAAGTTTTGGGACATTTCTTTTCGAGGAAAGCTGAAAAATAAATTAAAATGTTTTTCTTTGTGGCTCTGTTTTCTGCTGGGATTACGAAATGACAAGGGGAGAAGATTATGAGAGATTTGCACAGATTTGATTGCGGGGTTGATGATCACACGGTTTTTAGTCGAAATGACCCCAATAAACACAACTCACGAAAGTGGATCATGTTAAATTTTTATATTGGTTAGTTTCTAGTGATTTGGTTTTTAATTCTATATATATATATATTTAGGCTTATTTTTAGTGTTGGTTCTTTTAGATTAGTTTTTCTATGCTGTTAGATTCTTTTTAATTGATTTAAGGTCTCTTTCATTATAAGGTTGGTTTTCTATGCTGTTTGTTTCCTTATGATATAGGGTTTCTTTCATTATAAATACATATACTGCAAATGCATATATTGTAGGCGGAGAATCATATATTCAATTATGAATACAATATCAGATTTCTTTACAAATTTTTCTTTAAATTTGTGGATTCAAATTTTTTTTCTTCTTTTAATTGTTTTACATTTAGGCTCTCTGATTGTTTGTGTAAAATATTTTTCATAAAATGTACTTTTTATTTTTTTTGTGTTTGGTTGTTGTAAAATATTTATGAAGACAAAAAAAATATTAAAATTTAACAAAAATAATTTACCCACCAATTTTTGACAAGTTAGTTTACACGTCTTACATGATGAATTCGATCTAAATAAAAGTAAGTCCAAACTGTCTGTTCTTTAACCTGTGGCACTCTGCACACAATTTTTTTATATTATTATTTTTTGTCAAGTGGGTGGTAAAAAAAAATGAAATACATAAGTTTGTTTGTTTTGTTTGGTTTTGTTTTGTTTTATTTATTTATTTATTTTTCTAAGAATTACATGAAAAGTAACCCAAAGGCAAACACTTGCCATTGACAGGGAACACGTAAATAATCAAGATATCTTTTCATGATGCCGTGATCGTGCAATTTACTAGCCATCAGATTGAGAGTTTTTTATAAAAATTAGGATCCGAAGCCGTAAGAGCTTCATGATATCTTTTCATTTAGGATTTGATTCAATCCTGATCTGAATTGGAAATGTTAAAATCTTTTCAAACACACAGACTCATTGATACAACATAAGAAAATGGATAGGTACACTATCATTATCTTATATAGCTTGCGTCGTGGCTTTTGCAGCAACCGTAATATTCTTGATCTGTATCTCCATGCTATCTTGCAAGACGAAGATAACCAAAAACGGTGACATGGTTGTTTTCGAAGGTAATGGTGCCACTGTTGCAGCAGAGTGTGGTGGCAAGGCCCACAGTGACGGTTGTGGCCGTGGTGGTCAGAGCAGTTCTGATGCCCCTAAAAGTAATAGGAGTGGTTGCTGTGCTGGTTGTGGTGGTTGCGGTGGTGATTGTGGTGGCTGTGGAGGTGGTTGTGGTTGAAATGGAAGTTCTCATTCCATTTTTTTAAAATTCAATTGTTAGTTAACATCAAACATGAACGTTCATGTTCTCTTCTATTCTCGGTGTGGCTTCGTATAATTGATCATTTAGTTACAATAATTTGGTGCAATTACTTTTCCAAAATATATATATATACATATATAAAGTTTACATGTGTTTCATTCGGAAAAAGCTAATTCTATATATCCATTCACATATGGGTCCTTTCACTTCCATTCGAACTCAATATGAGACACCAATGACATACAGCAGCCCTCTTCTTATAAAATAATGCTGTATTAGGTAATACATGGCCTGCTCCGGTGATTTTGGCCCATACAAACCTATTCGAAGTTACTACTTTAAGTTATAAAGTTCAAAAAATGATATTAATAGGTAATGAATATGTACAAGGCAGGGCTGGGAACCAACCCGAAAAGAAAAAAATGGCCCAACAAAGGATTGGGGGCAAACAATTAACCATACCCAAACATTTAAAACTAGGGCACTACTACATGTCTCCAATAAATTTTGAGGTAGATCTTTTCAATTTATGTGGTAGTTAATAAAAAGACACAACTCTTGACTAATTCACTTGAAAGAGCCCTTCTCGAATTTGTTTCCGGTTCCACTACAATTACAGCTCCCTCATGTAAACATATATACGATCATGATCAATTATTGTTTCTTTATCGAATTGATACATAATATAACCCTACATGTAAATATATATACAATCATAACAAATTAGAATACGTTATAACTCTAGGTACAGACACACACACATATATAATTACAATATAATCTGAAATCACTATGATGTATCCAAGAATCTAATTGATACGGAGTACATAATATAACCCTAAATGTAAACACATATACAATCAGATTATAATATGAGATCACAATGATGTATCTAAGAATCTAATTGATACATAATATAACCCTAGATGTAAAAACATATATAATCACCATAAACCCTAGATGTAAAAACATATATAATCACCATAAACCCTAGATGTAAACACATTTATAATTACCATAAACGCTAGATGTAGACTATATATATATATATATATATATATATCACTAGAATATAGCCTGAGATAACTCTAATGCACCGGTCTAGGCCTTAATTTCCGGACAGCCATGGTTTAGGTGTTTTCCAATCTTTGGTGTTGCTTCTCCAATCCATTCTTCTTCGTTGCAGATTTGATCCATTATTTACATAATATAAATATATATTAAATTATATATATATATATATATATATTTTGATAAAAACGCTTTTAATTAAGTTAATTGACAGCCACGTCATTTGTCCACTCATTCAAGTTAATTCCATGATATCATTTGTAATATATATTTAGTATTTCTATTAAAACTAATCAAAACGCTGTTAAAACCGGTACTAATGAACTTTTTGACAAGGCCAGCAACAAAGGTCTTATAATCTTATTAGTTGGGTTAGATTATGGCCCTTTGCATAAATAAAACCAATATCGATCATATAACAAATAGATATATCACTGTAATCGTTTTTTTAATCTGGTTGTTTGCGCATTCGCAACAGTCAAGTCCACTACGTACTTACTGTACATACATACTCGTACTACAAGTAGTTGCTTCAGGGAAAAAAGAAGGGTTCAATCGTCTTTAACCTTCTCTTTTGTGGGGGCTCATCACCATTTAATACTTTCTACCTTACTTGTTAAATACGGTCGAGACTCGGGGACCATAATAATTTCGGGAACGCGCTACTTTAATAATTTCTGAAACCAGTTGCTAGGCTGCTTCCTCTGGTGGTGGCCGGGTGGGCGAAAGGTCAAAGAACACGTAAATAAATCCAATATATATGTATGTTGGTGTATCATTCGATGTTTAGAGAGAGAGAGAGATGGATCAGATGCCTAGCATAAATCATTTCTTGCATCCAAGCCATCCATTGGTACCAAAGAATTACGAAGCTGGCACAGAGTATCTCTGTAATGGTTGCAATACCCCGGGACTAGACAAGGGGTATTGCTGCAAGAGTTGCAATTTCAATGTGCATGACTATTGCGGCACTTGCCCCACTACCCTCAACTCCTTCATGCACCCGCAACACCCCCTCACTTTGGTAATCCGAACACCTGAAGACACCTCCAGGACGGTGCGCTTATGTAATGTGTGCCGTGACCATGTCCACGGACTCTTCTATCGGTGCAAACTCTGCGACTTCGATGTGCACCCACTTTGCACCCAACTGCCTCAATATGTGCGCCACGTCTGCGATCCACACCATTCCCTGACACTCCTCTTATCATCACACGGTTGGTGTGCTGTTTGTGGCGAACCTTGTAGTTCTTGGCGCTACAGCTGTGGGGTTTGTGGTTTTCATATTCATTTCCAGTGTATTGAGGCACCATGTAAAGTGACAAAGTCGCAGTCACGGTCTTTGCCACCAACTTACGGTGGTTATGGTCGTGGGGTTTCTTATGGTTCTCCACCACCACCACCGTCATGGCCACCAAATTATACTGGTTATGGTCATCAGGTTTCTTATGGTCCGCCACCACCACCATCATGGCCACCAAATTATGGTGGTTTTGGTCATGAAGTTTCTTATGGTCCGTCACCGTCACCACCACCACCACCGCCACCACCACCGTCGTGGCCACCAAATTATAGTGGTTATGGTCATCAGGTTGCTTATGGTCTGCCACCACCACCATCCTGGCCACCAAATTATGGTGGTTATGGTTATGAAGTTTCTTATGGTCCGTCACCACCACCACCACCATCATGGCCACCAAATTATGGTGGTTATGGTCATGAAGTTTCTTATGGTCCGTCACCACCGCCACCACCACCACCAAATTATGGTGGTTATGGCCATGAAGTGTCTTATGGTCCGCCATTTCCACCACCACCTTCCAGTGGTTACAATTGTAACATAGCTCCTCATGGTTACGGTACTACTCCAGATAACATGAACAACAATGTCTACCCATCTCAAGGAAGTGGTGCAAGTTCAAGTGGGAGGATTGGGAAGATGATGGCTAAGCTTGTAGCCAGCCTAGGAATTGGAGTGCTCTCCAATGTTATATTCGGAATGGTGCTATTGTACAAAAATAAATTAATTGTCTTGATTAACAAAAGAGTTAAATAAATTAATTGTCGTACTAAACCATTGATGTTTGGATAATTTTTTTATATAATATATTAATACACTCTTGTGAATTTAAGTGATCCATCAAATGTCAAATAAATCATGATCATTTAATAAATTTTTATTGTCAAGATAAACGAAATGTTCTGATTGGCCGGAATATTTAGTAATTGCTACCCCCATATGGTATATATTTTTCTAATAAAATAGAGGTTCTTTGTTAAAAGTAGATATTACATGTGAGAGATATTGGCATCGGGTTTTCCCTATTACCACAATAAAAATATAACATTCATTGGTGTGCATACCAAAAATGTGGTATGCCAAATTTGCCCTATATATTCTCACTTGGAGATGCTGAGTATTCGATGTACAAAGAAATAATTCCTTCCAAGCTACTGTAGTTTGGTACTATAATAGGGTGACAATTTTTCTTTTTATATATTTTTTAAATAAAATAAATTGTAAAAGAAATTCCTCAACTTTTATGATTTCATATAAAACTCTCCTGAATTTTTAATTTTTTTGCACAAAGCTCTATATTTTTTAAAACGCTGTGTGGACACAAATCATTCACATCATCCACATGATCAATGAGTGAATCAATGAAACACCAAGTATGAAGTGACCCAATTCAGTACGTTCAGGGCCGGCCACCTGGAATTACTTCATATATATGCTGCTACCAAATTCAGTAGCAAAAATTTGGTTGAATCATCAATGGTCATTGGAGTAAGCCTCAAGATTAATGCTACACGATGTGTACTAAATTAATACAAGAATGCTACATGCATGTGCATGGATCTTTGTATACGTTAGATCAAGATCAAATTTAATCAACCACTCATGAACTTAGCAACAAGGAAAAAGAAATGAAAATGTGGTCATGAGTGGTTGATTAAATTTGATAGTCATAGACTCATGAACTTTCAAAGTCTTCATGCGGGGATGGTTTGTTGTTTGTGGTGGATTAGGCACTTCTTGGCGCTGCATGCGTGGGGTTTGTGGAATTGATATTCATCTTAAGTGCATTTTGGCACCGTTGGATCAACCACAGTCGACCCCGTCAACCCGGGTTCGAGTTAGTGGTCCTCCACTGCCTCCGTCCCGAACTCCACCTTATGGTAATGGGATGACTTACGCTTAATTATCATAGTACGTCCATATAATAATGTGTACAACTATTCCAACCCACCTCAAGGAAGTAGTGGTAATTTCTACAAATGGGAAGAGGATGGGCTTCTATTGTGGGGTAGCTAGCTCTTGGAGGAGACAATATCTTGTCCAACCTGGTATCCCAATCCAATAAAAACATGACAATTGGATAACTTTCCACATCAGCTTCATACTCAACATGCCAACGTCGTTAACTTCGTTAAAAAAAAAAAAAAATTATGAAACCTAAATAATCGAAAGTACGTGATTGCCCCAAGAGCCGATGATGGAACTCTCAATTCAACCAGAAGATCTCTATCTTCTTCGGCATATAACTCACCGAGCTGGATCCGAGAACGCCGGGCCAACCGGTGTGTGAATAACCGCTGCGATCTTCGCCGGAGCTGAACCGGAGGCGAAACCGAGCTGCAGACAGAAATCTTGCACCACGGCGCTCAGTAAACCGACCATACTTTGGCGAAGGCGTTGCCGTACGCGCCACCTTGGCTGAATCCAAAGGCGTGTATAGGGATCTTGAGGTGCGAGTAATGCGTGGAACAGACGACGGCGGATTGACGCCTTTCTATCGCCGATTCACCGGCAGAGACTGGCCCGTCATGAACGTCTTCTAACACCTTCGCTGCTTTTTTCAGCGCGTCGGTGAAACTCGAGCCTTGGCCTGCCACAAGTGCGTCGGCGATTCGACGCGCTGATAACCGGCCGTTCACCGTCATTCTTTTTAGTGGCAACAACCTCTTGGAGTTCGCCGAGAAAGCCACAATGGAGAGACGATCGGCGGACGAAAG